GAACCAAGATACTCATGTGAAGGTACAAGATCCCAATGATGAATGTAACTGTATTTTATACCTAAAATGTACCAATAAACTTAATGGGAAAAAAAACCCCGAAAACCCCCACAAAAACTTAAAACTAGAGGTTCAATTTGACCCAGCTAGTCCCCTTCTTGGTATCTTCCTGAAAGAATTAAAAGCATCACACCACAGCGATATATGCACACCCATGTTTATAGTGGCACAGTTTGTAATTGCTAAATCTTGGAAACAGCTCAAATGCCCATCAACCAACCAGTGGATAAAGAAGATGTGGGAGGTTTTTACACAATGAAGTACTAGTCTGCCATAACAAAGGATAATCTCAGACATTTCTAGCTAAATGGATGCACCTTGAGACCATACGCTTAAGTGAAATCAGACACACCTTTAAATATCTCATTGTTTCTTTGGTGTGAGAAAACAAAAGTGTAAATAAGGACCAAAATGCATAAAAAGGAATATATAAATTATATAAAATGTATAATGTATAAAGTGTATAAATTGGGAAGTGGGGAGAAAATGTTCAAAAAGAGAAGGGAACAAGGGAGGGGGAGGGGGAAAGGAAGGAAGGGACAAGAAAAAAAGTGAAAATAGAAGGAAAAAATGGAAACAAAGCTTTGGTAAATAAGGAGGGAAAGAGGGGTTGTAGGGAGGGGAAGAGAATGGGAAAAAAAGAAGCAAGATATATCACGTACAGGTACAAATTCCTTGTGATAAATGTTATCATTATGTGTTTCTAAAATGTGCCAATAAAAAAAAAAAACATGAGTATTGATGTTGAGTTTTTGCAATATGTTGCAGATCTGGTCCTTGAAGCCATGGCCTAGGATTTCATCAGCACACATATCTTGATGTATTTGGGAGACAGGACTCTCCAGTTAAGGGTCCCAAACATTCAGTCAGGCTACTGTTATGGCTGAGATCTAAAATGGCCCCAGAGGCTTGCATGTTTGGTTGGTGGTTTTGCTGTTAGGAGGAAGGGCCAGGTCAAAAGGGGCAGTTACTCTCTTGACTCGCTTTTGTTTTGTTTTGGGGTTTTTTGGTACCAGGGATTGAACTCAAGTCCTTGCCCTTGCCAGGCAGGCGGTGGAACCACTGAGCTAAATCCCCGGCCCTTTGCTTTTGTTTTGAAGACAGGATCTCACTATGTAGTTCAGGCTGGCCTTGAACTTACTATGTAGCCCAGGATGGCCTGGAACTGGTGATGATCCTCCTGCCTCAGCCTCCTAAGTGATAGGCATGCACCACCACACCTGGCCCAGTGCTGGCATTTTTGATTTCTAGTTCTCAAGACTGATTATTTTCAAGTTAGGCCTTATTTTGGGGACACACAATTGCTAGTGCCCCCATTGCAGGCATGACAGGAGGCTCCCAGGAAATCTCCTAATGCCCAGACCTCTGAATCTGCTGGATAACTTCTCAAGCAGGTGCCAAGAGGTGACCTTTAGGCCCCTTCAGTCTGCTGCAGAACTGATTTGGCAAATGTAGCCATTTTCCCAGTTCCATATCCACCTGAGTGACTACATCAGGATCCTGATAAAGGAAGAAACGCTCACAGCTGGATGGCAGAGGCTCAAAACCATGGGCACCATGACATGGAGGAGGGTCTCCCAGAGGTTCAGAGTGTCCACCTGTCAGAAGTCTCCTTCTGGTTCCTCTCATGACCTCTTGGGCACCATCCTGCAGGGCCACTGTCTTTGTATTGGGAACCTCAACTCACAAGATAGAGGCCCTGCATGGTTATGTCCACAGGAAATGTCCAGAGCAGACTAATCTATGGGGACAGAGAGACAGGGGTGGTGGCTGTGAAGCCTGAGTCAAGTTAGCCTCTGTGCCTCCATTTTTAATAAAATCTCCATTTATGCATGGCACTGACCTCTGCCTCAACCCCCAGGTAGTTTGTGAAGATAAGTGTTGTTGTCAAGATAAGTGTTCCGAGAAAACCTGCAAAATGTACTGTTCCCATAGCGGCCGTTCTGCTTCTGTAAGTGCGCTTGCCGCCCCCACCCTCACCGCTTACTGGGCTAACCGATTGCGCCTCTGGAGCGAGAGAGAGCGCCAACTTCCTGGTTCTGCAACTGCTTAAAAACTGCAGCTAAAAGAAGTCCGGGGTCCTTCTCTGGGGCTGCATCCTTGAGATTAGACCCCATCGGCGAAATAGAAACTTGGCATTCAATCTTTTGACTCACTGTCCATTTGTTGGCACAACATTTTTGGAGGCCCCAGCGAGATGCTGGAAACGACCGAGCTTGGAGTCCTCCAATCGGAGCTGCCAGTGAGCAGGACGACCACCCTGATGTGTTCCAGGGCCCGGCGCTGAGACAGGCTCTCGGACGACTCCGACTGCAAAGTCATCCAGTGCCAAGTTTTGTTTCTGTTCTGGGGAAAGCCTTGCAAGGTAAGAACTGAAACAGGTTCTTGAAAGGATTGCGACGTGGTGGACAAGGAGGTGCCGGACGCGGCAGTCGAGCCTCTTGTCCAGGGAGTCCCGGTGACAACCCCGGCTCCCAGGTTAGGTCTCATTCTGTTTGTGTGGAGCAAATGGTGAGTGGGACAGCGAGAGTGAGAAGTGTCTTCCTTGTTCAGTGTCTGTTGTTCAGTAGCTGTCAAAATTTATCATGGACAGTTCGAATTCAAAATCCATGGCCAGGGATTTAGCTCAGTGGTTCTGCTGCCTGCCTCACAAGAGCAAGGACCCAAGTTCGATCCCTGGTACCTCCCCAAAATCCATTAGTCCTCTTCAGTGTATTTTGGCCCATTTCAGACAGGTTTACTCTAATGTAAAGGAAGATAAATATGGAGTGAGGTTTTCTAAGGGAAAACTCTACACCCTTTGTAAATTAAAACATTTGGAACCACATCCCCTTGGCCTGTAGAAGGGTCCTTTGTGCCCTCTCAGGTCAGGGAGGTCTGGAAAGTAGTCACAGGAAAGCCCAGACACCCAGACCAATTCCCTTACATAGATGTTTGGATGGATTTGGTAGAGGACCCTCCTAAATGGGTCACACAATGTGGACTACAATGGAAATGCACTGTTTTAACCAACAGAAAAGTGCCTCCGGGCAGATTTGAAACTAACCAGAAGCCTAAGATTTTTCCAGGTGACCCAGAGGATGACTCACTGCCACCCTACGCCACTGCCCCTGCAGCTGCAATCTAGCCCCTGTTCCTCATCTTTTTCTCCCTGCAACCCTTTTTCTCCCCCACACACTCGTTCAGGTCAACCCTTTGGGGCCCCACCGGGGTCCTCCCTCGTGGAAACAGGAGAAATGACTTCCCTTCTTTGAGCCCCATTGGCGGGGCCAGCTCCATCCTCTGTTGTGGTTAACATGCCTGACTCCATGTTGGTCCTACCTCTGAGAGAGGTAGCCCCTGGTCAGGACATGGTTTATATCCCTTTCACTACTTCTGACCTCTCCCTCATTGATCTCCTTGGTTCAGTTTTTCAAACTCATCTCCCTACTTGGGACTATTGTCAACAACTGTTACAGGTTCTCTTCACCACCTAGGAACGAGACCGGATCCTCCAAGAAGCCGCCACGGTGGTTTTAGGGCCAGGGGCAGGGATTGACCCCAACCAGCAGGCCAGGTTATGAGAAATCCTGCCTTGGAAAAGGCCTGACTTGGGGCCCAAACACTGAGCAAGGTAGGAACAGTCTGAACACTTATCACCAGCATCTCCTGGGGGGGTCTTCGCAAGGTGGCTCGTAAACCTACTAATTTAAGTAAGGTGAGTGAAGTTCTTCAGGGAAATACAAAATCTCCCACCGCCTTCTTGAAATGGCTACTTAAAGCATACCAGGTCTATACTCTGATTGACCCAGATGCCAGAGAGAATTCTGCCATCGTAAATTTGGCTTTTGTGTCACAGTCGGCCCCAGATATTAAGCGAAAGTTACGGAAGTTAGAGGGATTTGAGGGAAAAAATAGGACTGAGCTCTTTAGTATTGTCCAAAAAGTCTTCGTCAATCAGGATTTGCCAGAAGAGGCGATGGCTAAAAAGCTTGGAAAAGTCACTATCGTGGCCTTGGACGCCAGAGACCAACAGCAACCTCGAGGGAGAGGCAGAACCCCAAACCAAGGTCAAGGTAAGGGACGACGACCCCCACTGGGAAAAGATCAGTGTGCTAAGTGCAAAGGATTTGGACATTAGCAAAAGGATTGCCCACTGAACAAAAAAAGAAACTGAGGTACTGTCACTAGAGACTGGGGAGATGACATGAGGACGTCAGGGCTCCATTCCATTGAGCCCCCAGAACCCCATGGTACGAGGATTATTAACATCAGAAGGAAAGACAATTAAAAATAGAAAGGAAATTTTGAATCTATTAGAGGCTGTATGGGAACCCAAAAGAGTGGCTGTCATATACTGCAAAGGACACCAGAAAGGGGAAGGCTATGAGGTGGCTGGAAATCAGGCTGCAGACTTAGAGGCCCGAAAAGTGGCAAATGAACCAGTGGGGACACTCGAAATTCTTCCAATCAAACTACTAGATTATCTTCCCAAAGAGCCACAATACTCTGAGGAAGACTTAAGACTCCTTTCAAGGGTTGATGTCCACAACAGAAAAGATAATTGGAAGGAAACGGGAGGTGATAGACTATGTCTGCCACAGGCTTTGGGAAGGCAATTAATACAACAATTACATGGCATTACTCCCTGGGAGAGAAAAAGCTAAGGTTACTGGTTACCTCAAAATACCATATTCCAGAGATGTCTGCCATGACCCAGGAGGTGTTCCTCCACTGCCCCACTTGTGCTAAGGTAAATGCACATCCCAAGGAAAAACAAGTCGGGACTCGGTTAAGGGGGACTATGCCTAGAGAACATTGGGAGGTAGACTTCATAGAGGTAAAGGCCAGCTCGTTCAAATACAAATATCTACTGGTCTTTGTGGACACTTACTCCAGATGGATAGAGGCCTACCCTACCCTGACAGAGACGGCTGCCATGGTCATAAGGGCACTGCTCCATGAGCTCATACCCCAATTTGGCCTCCCCCGCTTTCTGGGGTCCGACAATGGCCTGGCCTTCACAGCCCTTGTGTCTAAAATGTTGGCCAAGACATTAAATATAAAATGGAAACTACACTGTGCCTATCGGCCACAAAGCTCAGGACAAGTGGAAAAAATAAATAGGACTGTAAAGGAAACATTGACAAAATATGTGCTGGAGACTAGAGAAAAGTGGCTAGACTTACTTCCTCTTGCCTTGCTTCAGGTCAGATGTACTCCTTATAGAAAAAATTCACTCCTTTTGAAGTCTTGTATGGTAGACCTCCTTCCTTGCTTCCCACCCTCCAACCTGAACTAAAATGTGATGCATTAAATCTCTCTCTTGTCAAGCCCTACAACAGGTACAACAGGAAACCAGGGAACCTCTCCTGGCTGCCACCCCACCACCACAGCCATTCAAGCCCCATCAGTTCCAGCCCGGAGACCTCATTCTGTTTCAGAGATATAGGCCAGAAACATTGAAACCAACGTGAAAAGGACCCTACCCAGTAGTGTTGATGACCCCATCTGCCCTCAAGGTAACAGGAATAACTCCGTGGATGCATCACAGCCACGTCAAAGCTGCCCCTCCAAAGGACGACCTCACAGAAAAGCAATAGAAGGTCGTCGGCAGACCAGGAGAAACAAAGATAAGACTGAAAAAGGACAAATAATTTACATGATCTGGGTTGGAAACAAAACCATACTTGTGCTAATTCTGTGGCTAATAAGGTTTCAGAAAAGTGATGCTAGCAACCCCTATGCACCACAAACAGAAATTTGGGAACTCAGAATGGCTAACAGCGCAGGGTGGTAAGCCAAATCAACAAGAGTCCTGATACCAGCCAAGTTAAATTCAATTTAAGTCTGTACAGTATGTTTTCGGAAACATGGAGTCTAGCTAGAGGAATAGGAGGATGCCAAATTATGAGTTGGACAAAACCACATCCCATTCACTTCTATGTTTGTCCGGCAGAAGGTGGTTCTGAGTGGCGGGGGGGGGGGGGCCGCCGCGGCGCTGGTGTCCTCTGCGTCTTTGTAGTGTGGAATCAGGTGGCTGTACAGAGGGGTGGGGTGGGGGGGGGGGGGGGCGGGGGGAGAGTACCACTGTGGCACCTGGAGATGTAAAACTATAGCCCCCTGGCAGGTCCAAGTAAAGGACATTTAGATAAGTGTTTCCCCCACTACATTGTATCATGACAGCTGTAAATCAGGAACCTGTTATCCTATAAAAATCAATATCGAAAGGATAATGGACTCAAGTTGGAAGGCTGGAAAAAACCGTGGGAAATCAGGTTATTATGTCGTGGGATGGGACCCTGGTATAATGTTCACAATACAGAAAAACAGATATAAATCCCCTCTTATATCCATGAGACCTAACAAAAAGTTAGCACTACCTATCCCGGTCCTCAGACCCCAATAACAAAACTGGTTTCAGTCGTTATTCAATTGGTCACCATGGCTGACAACCCTGGTCTCAGTGTTGGCCAGACCCCTTTACATATTATTACTGTGCCTGCTGATAGGCCCTTGCATACTCAATGCCCTCATATCATATATAAAAAAGGAGAGTAAATGCAGTTAAGATGTTAGTCATCAGGAATCAGGTGCCCTACAACCCCCTCATAAAAGATAAATTTAAAAATAGGTCAAAGATTTGACTAGGTACAAGAACCAGTGGGGAATGTGAGGCCTGAGTCAAGCTAGCCTCTGTGCCTCCATTTTTAGTAAAATCTCCATTTATGTGTGGCACTGACCTCTGCCTGAACCCCCAGGTAGTTTGTTGTCAAGCTGTGTTCCGAGAAAAACTGCAAAATGTACTGTTCCCATAGTGGCCGTTCTGCTTCTGTAACTGCGCTTGCCACCCCCACCCTCACCGCTTACCGGGCGAACCGATTGCGCCTCTGGAGCTCAAGAGAGAGCGCCAACTTCCTGGTTCTGCAACTGCTTAAAAACTGCAGCTAAAAGAAGTCCGGGGTCCTTCTCTGGGGCTGCGTCCTTGAGATTGGACCCCGCTGGCGAAATAAAAACTTGGCGTTCAATCTTTTGACTCGCTGTCCATTTGTTGGCACAACAGTGGCCAAGAGTTCAAAAAAAAAAAAAAGCAGGAGGGGAAAAAAGATTTTTATCCTTCTTGGTTCTGAAAGTCAATGTTGGATGAAGAGAGCCCAGAACTTCGGAGAGAGGACCCTGGTTCTGCCCACCTGTCCTCTTGGGCCAAGCCTTGGCAGTGGGGGCCTGGCCTTGACTTGGGGTGGCCCTGCTCTGATCTGAAGGCCACTTGGGAGAGAACGCAGCCACCTAGGGAACCGGGAGGGACAGAGCCTCACCCTTCCAGCCCCCCCAGCGGCTGCCCGACCTGAGGTTGTCCATCTCCCCCAAGCCACAGTCCCCTCCCGCTGTCAACCCTGTCCTGAGGAGGTTTAGGGAGGTCCCCACACCCTGTTATCTGCTCCAGGGAAGTCTAAAGTTCAGGGGTTTTGCACTCCAGGCCTCTCACCATGCCAGGATGAATGACCCGGAATGTTCGGGCAGACACGGTTGGAAGAAGCTGAGTTGGCGTGTACCTGGGTCAGCGTGTACCTGGGTCAGGGTGGGGCGGAGGTCATTGCCTGGGGGTTCAGTGACCTGCTCCTTTTCCTGCCTCCGCTTCCACCTCAGGAGGCGCTTGAGACTCCCAGGTCTCCACACTATCCTGCCTGAGAACTGTGCCTCAGGAGGAGGGCAAAGCTGGGGACCCTGCCCCACCCTGAGAGGTCTTCTGAGGTGCTGGGGACAGGAGATGGCGCCCCTGGGCACCAGGTCAGCAAGCCTTCCCTTCCTGTGTCTCTCTTCCCAGAACCTGCTCTCCCCACCCTCTCAGGGGCCTTTTTCTCACGTTTGAAATGGTCCCCAACCTGGGCATGGTAGCACATGCCTGTAGTCCCAAAACTCAGGAGGCTGAGGTAGGAGGATCACCAAAAGTTCTTGGCCAGTCCGGGCTACAAAGTGAGGCCCTTCTCAAAAAAACAACATTAGGCCGGGGATTTAGCTCAGTGGTTCTGTCGCCTGCCTCGAAAGCGCAAGGTCCCAAGTTCGATCCCCGGTACCAAAAAACAACAAATAACAACAATAAAATCATCCCCAAACCTCCACAGAGCCTGGCCCTCTCCACACCCTTTGACCTCTAGCCCAGTTTCCTAAACTCACTTGCCCTCGGCTTCCTTACCTGTGAAATGGGAATGAAGATGAAGTGTGGTTGTGTGGTGGATAAGGAGCCTGCGACACTTCCACTTCCGTAGCACCTGGGATACTGAGCCTGATCAGTACACGTGAGTGAGCTGGGCGTGGTGCCCCAGCCTGTCATCCCAGCACTCAGGAGGCTGAGGCAAGAGGATCGCCCCTGAGTTCAAGGCCAACCTGGACCACATAGCAAGCCCCTGCTTCAGCGTCAGCTGCTGCTCTTGCTGTGACTTTATTACTCTGTCTGCTAAACAGCCAAAATCTAAGGACCACTGCATATGCCAGGCTCCATGCTGAGAACCTAGGGAGTAAGACTCACAGTTTGGCTTTAGCAGGGTTTAAACTGATTTGAAGAAGGAAGGGGCACCAACAGCCAATCATATAGTTCATAAGCATAGAGCCTGACATTTTTTAAAGTCTGTCAAAACATTCAGGGGTCTCACTGAACACCTCTGAGAAATTCCGTTTCCTCTTGGCTGCAACTTTGGGCCCAGCCGTTGTTCCAGATGTGCCCATCATCCACCCACCTGGGCTGGGCAGGGCCTCTCCTCCATGCTGCAGCCACAGCGGCAGGTACAGCCAGGCCTGAGCCCAGCTCCCCTTTCCGGGAGACGATCCTCGGTGGATGTGCAAGAGGAGTGGAACTTTGTCCCCAGCCTAGCCGAGCAGGAGGAGTTCAGTCTCCGTCATAAAGGAGAATGCAGGGGGGGTGGATCAGGCCCAAGGCGACCAAGGCCTTCATCCCAGAGGCGGGAGGGACCACACCTAAGGTCAGGGAGGAGCCAGAGCTCAACGCCTGAGGATCAAATTCCTCCAGGGTAAGCTCTGGAGACAGCAGATTGGCACAGGAGGCCCGAGGAGGGAGAGAGCCAGAGGGGCCCATCCTGTCACTCGTCGTGCCCCAGCCTCGTGCTCTGGAAAAAGGTAGCAGCCAGCAGCCAGCAGAAGCTGGAAGGAGCCACCCCTCAGTGCCTCCACCTGCCCACTCTGCCTGCCCGACAGAAAGCAAACAATGGACCCAGGCAGGACTCAGATAAATCTTGACCCCAGGTAAGCGAGGGCAGCAGGCCCTGGGCCGGCAGCCTGTTGCTAAGCAACAGTGGTCCCTATCCCACTGGCCTGCCCCTCCCGCCCTCCCCATCCTTTGGCTCCCAGCACTCAGAACAGGCAGGGCTTAGTGGCCGGGCTGTGCCCTGAGTCTTCAGGGAACCTGGGATGGGCCAGCCTGGGACCCCTTCAGGGCCTCGGCTCTATCCCACAGGCTGGGAAGAGAAAGATCCCAGAGAAGGCAGGTGTGGTGGTCCATGCCTGTAACCCCAGCACTTGGGAGGCTGAGGCAGGAGGATCACTGTGAGTTCGAGCCTGGGCTGAATAGTGAGACCCTGTCTCAAAAAAGAGAAAAACAAAAGAAGATCCCAGAGAAGAGGCTGTGAGAGAAGAGGCTGTGGATGCGTCCCAGAGTCACACAGAGGCCCTGGCCATCAGGGCCATCCCTCACGCACAGGGCCACTCTTTCCCTGGGACCCCGATCCTTCTGCCTGGCCAGCCCCTGGGCTCTGCCCTGAGGAAGCGAAAGAACTGGGCATTCTTTGGGCACTGCAGCCAGGCCTTCCCAGGCAGCTGGCAGCTCATCTTATACAGTCGGCTGGGCGGGTTCTCCATCCTCTCTAGGAAGCTGGTGGTGCCACACACTTGTCATCCCAGCACTCTGGGAGGCTGAGGCAGGAGGCTCGCTAGTTCAAGCCCAGCTTGGGTAACTTAGTGACAGAGCCTGGCTCAAATAAGAAAAGGGCTGGGGATGTAGCTCAGTGCAAAGGCCTGGGTTCGATCACCTCCTCCCAGGCCCATGATTGAGAACTCAGTCCTGTCCCTCCAGGTTCCCAGCAGAGCTGCTGGAAGTGCTGAGAACCAATTACAGTGTCCCAGCTGCCTGCTTCTCATACCCCCCGACTGCAGCCCAGCTCCTGCAAGGTGAGTCTCCCCCAGCTCAACAGGGAGGGTTCCCAGGAGGAGGGGAAGGGGGAGCTGAGCACCCCAGACGGAAGTCAGGCCAGCCGGGAGCTGGGGAGCGGTGGTCCCGAGTGGGCTGGCCTGGACAGCCTTGGATGGCTGGCCTCACATCCATCATGGCTAAGGTCAACTCCCGAAATGATTCAGTCCCACAGGGTCCTCTGGCCTATAATCCCAGCATTCTGGAGGCCAAGGCAGGAGGACCACCTTGAGTGCAAGGCTGCCTGAACTACATAACCAGACCCTGTCTCAAACAAACAAACCAAAAACCAAAAATCCCCTCCTTGGGAAAGGGTCCGCAGCATTCCCAGCAGGGGTGGCTGTAAGCAGTGAGCTTGACTTGGTGACCTATGGCTGAGTTGCTTTTGAAATAGAATGGGACTCAGTTCATTCCCTGCACGGAAGGACAGCACCCACAAAGCCCTGCATCTCTAGCAAATGCCTCAAGTGCATGTTGTTTTCCTGCTACGTGACCCCTGCCTCTGAACTGTGCAGCAGGAATCTCGGTTTCACCCTGTGCTTCCCCAGCCCTTGCTGATGTCCCCTCCAGTGAGGTGCTGTCAGGGTGCATGGGATGTGGGTGTGGCTGTCCTCGGGCCACAGCTCCACTCCCTGTGCTCTGGACCCTCGAGTGTGCTGCCATCTGCCAGGGTATCCCAAGATGGCAGTTGGTGCGTGGGGATTGGTGCCACTGGGGGCTGCTCTACACAGCTCTGGGGCTTCCTGCTCAGAGTGCAGCTGGTGGCCAAGTCTCCCTCACATGGGTGGCTCTCAGCCCAAGGGACATTGGGCAAGGTCTGGCGACAGTTTGGGTTGCCACACCAGAGGTTGCAATCAGCATCTGGTGGCCAGAGGCCAGAAGGCTTCTAAGTCTCCCACAGCACCCAGGACTGTCCCTTACAAGGAAAAGTGTCACTCGTGGTCAGGTTGAAAAACCTTGCCTGACACAACGAAACAGCTCTCACATTGCTTTGCTTTAAAATTCAGAAAGTGAAGCCCTAAGGGTGACTAAGTAGGGGACCATTCTGGGTCTGGCAGTCATGTGCGGAGCGCAGTGGGACCCAGGGGTGCCAAGCAGGTGGTGGGCCCTCCTGGGGTGGCGACGGTAACAAAATGAGACCCGGGAGAGCCAGGTCTGGCAGGATTCACGGCTGTGGAGGGGCGGGAGAGTTGAGAGGGCAGGCAGGGACGCTGCACCTGCTGCGCCGGGTACTTTATCCCAGAGCAGAAGCGGCTGGGTGGGGCTGGGCAGCGTGGGGACATTAACCAGTCATCGGGGTGGACACGGGGGTGGGCTTGAGAAGCAGGGAGATGAATGACAGGTCATTGCCCCTCGCAGCAGGGAGGAGGGGAGGAAAGTGGAATTCGGAAGCAACCCGAAGTGCAGGGAGCTAGGGAATGTTTAGATGAGCCTGGGTCTGGGCCTCAGTGATGACACAGGATCCGGAATTAGGAAGAGGATGGAGGATGTGGTGAGACTCCTTGCTTCCTTTGTAACTACCATGGTTTCTTGTTTTTTTGGTTTTTTCTGGTACTGGGGATCGAACTTGGTCCACCATGGTTTCTTAAATCATTCTTTTTTTTTTTTTTTTTTTGAGACAGTGTCTCACTATGCAGTTCAGGCTGGTCTTGAACTCACTACAGAACCCAGGCTGGCCTTGAACTCCTAGAGATCCTTCTGCCTCAGCCCCCCCAAGTGCTGGGATTATAGGCATGCACCACCACACCTGGCAAATCATTTTCTTTTTTTCTTTTTTTTTTTTTTGGTACCAGGGATTGAACTCAGGTCCTTCCACTTGTGAGGCAGGCAAAATCATTATTTAAGAAAGAGCTATTCTGAGGGCTGGGATTTAGCTCAGTGGTTCCGTGCCAGCGCAAGGTCCCAAGTTAGATCCCCGGTACCAAAAAAAAAGAAAGAGCAAGTTATTCTGGAAGAATCTTCAAAAATCAGGTTGTTTGGTTTGGTCTGGTCTTTTTGAGACAAGGTCTCACTATATAGTTTAGGCTGGGCTTGAACTCACTATTTACCCCAGAATGGCCTCAAACTCATGGCGATCCTCCTGCCTCAGCCTCTCAGATGCTGGGATTACAGGCATGTGCCATGATGTCTAGCTTGGCTATCTTAAATAATTTTGTTTGTTCTCTTGTGTTTGGGAAGCACATCAGCGTCACCTAATGGGCAAAATGGTGGTTCCAAGCAAGAAGGCCACAGTGAATGAATGAATGCACCCACTCTAGAGTGTGATGATATCTCTGAGACTGGAAGTCCTCATCCACAGCCCAGCACTTTTATTTTATTTTTGAGGTTTTTTTATTTGTTTTGCTTTTTTGAGATAGGATTTCACTATATAGTCCAAGCTGGCCTTGAATTCACTATGTAGCCCAGGCTGGCCTTGAACTCACGGCTCAGCCTCCTGAGCGCTGGGATCACAGCCGTGCACCACCCCCCTTGGCAGCCCAGAAGTTTCAACCCTAGGTATGCATCATAAAGAAGCTCTACATGTGCCAAGGGGACACATCCAGGAATGCCAACTGCAGCATGTTTGTCACAATGAAAATAACAGAACTCAGGAAAAAGAGGTTAGGTAGAAAAAGCGTTTGGCAGATAGGTTTTTAAAATGTTAAGCAATACAGCAGGCATGGTGGCACATGCCTGTAATCCCAGCACTTAGGAGGCTGAGGCAGCAGGATTGCCATGAGTTCAGGGCCAGGCTGGACTATATAGCAAGGCCTCATTTTTAAAAAGCAGTGTCTGTAATATTTTATTTTCATAAATAACTTTGAAACAAAAGCAGCAATATCTGACATGTTAAAATGGATTGTGGTTATGTTAATTCTTGTTCTAGCCTCTATTTTAAAATATTTTATAATTTTAAAATCATTATAAAAAGAGATTTTGAAAGACTGATGAAATGTTAGATGAAAAAATACAGTTTTACACAGTACATTGTAGGCCCTTTAATCAGATGTTTCTAAAAGCTGCTTTTTGTTGAGCTAACACTACCTGCCAGGCACTCTGCTCGAGGGGTGACGAGAGGTGAATCTGCCCATGCAGGCTCCTGCAGCTGGCAGCAGCGGGATTTCACCTTGACCTCCAGGGTCTGACTCCACTGTGCTCTGAACAGGAAGAGACTACACAGAATGGAAATGTTCTTGAGTAAGAAGCTGAAATTATGGGTGATTTCTTTCCCAAAATTTTTACATAATGTTTTTATATTGTTTTCATTTTTTAAAGAAGTATTCTAAACTACTATAGACATAATGCAAAATTTACAGTTGCTAAAGGAATATTCAAAATGATCAGATGGATAAGCGTTTTCCAAAGTGCTTTCCTTGGAATATTAAAACCGAGGAATGATTTGTGAAAATAGAATTTTTGTTGTTGTTGTTTAAGGCAGGGTCTCACGATGTAGCCCAGGCTGGCCTTGTGATGCGCCTCCTGCCTCAGCCTCTTGAGTTCTGGGATCACAGGCGAGCACCACCTTGCCCGGCCACTCTCATCTTTATACATCTGAGAAAGCTTGCAGGGGAGCAGTTGGTTGCTTCTCCATAGCCAGGAGAACACACACTGAGTGCATGTGGGATGGCTTCAAGTCTGGGCTTTGCATCAGGGACCACTTTATTCCTGGCTGCGTCCCCCAGGTGAGGTGCTTGATTTCTAAAGCCTCTAAAATGAGGGTGGCAGTAGGAATTGGTGCAGAGTGTTTCTGTCATTCCACCAGCACTTGGGAGCCGTCCCTATTCCAGGCACCGGGAGATGGAACAACCCCCCAGCCCCTGCCTCCAGTGGGGCTCTGAGCAAAGCCGCTGTGGGGCTGGTGGCAACTGGGCACTGTGGCGCCTGGCCAGGCCCCAGGAGGACTGAGGGGTGGTAGTGAATACCAAGCCTCAAGACGCAGAGACAAGCTGGGCTGCGCTGCTTTGTTGTTAGATGAACACATAACTATCGTGCAGTTACAGGGACAACGTGCTGCTTCACCTCGTGCTTGCAGTGTGGACCAGTTGTGTCAAATGAGGAGGGCTTCCACGTGCACATCATTCTTTACGTGCAGAGCCTTGGGGCTCCTCTGTTCTAGCCTTCATGAGACCCACACTCTCTGCACCCAAGACCCTGGCCCCCATCTCACTGTAACCCATGCCCTGCCCACCTCGCTCCCTGGCCAGCTCCAGGCCCTTTCCGAGGGCAGAGCACACAGTGCCCCACGGGGCCTCAGGCCTGAGCTCAGGAGGCTGGGTGCGGAGACCAGGAGGAACCAGGACCTACCCCGGAGACCCTCAGGCTTGATGGGCGGGAAGCCGGGGACCCAAGTCACAGCATGGAGAGGCCGGGCTGGCAGTGATCACTCCCAATAATGCAGTGTCGATTTTTGGAAATCACTTTTGTTTTTTTCCTATCTGGACTTTCCCTTTTGTCTCTATTTTTTCAAAACTAAACATTTCTATTATAAAAACAATTCAGGTTTAGCCAGACGTGGTGGCACATGCTGTCATCCTGGCACTCGGGAGGCTGAGGCAGGAGGAGCACTGCCAGCCTGAACTACACAGGGAGACCTTGCTTCAAAAAGCCAAAGCCAAAAATAAACCCCTCCCAAAACAAAAACAAAGTGTGGTTCATTTTTGCCTCCAAAAAAGTCCATAAACACATTGTGCAGATGAAATACAAATCCTTTGAGCAGCTGCAGGGTCTCGCATACCCTCACTGGCATGGCCCAGGCCACACCATTGGATGTCCACCACCACGGGGTCCAACTTCCCTACCTTCGACTTTGTGTGAGCACAGACTACAGGCCCTGGCTCCCTTCCATCATCGTCCTGTTTCTACGGTTAATCTGTTGTGTCGAGTCTACTTCGATTTGCTCTTTGCCCGTGGGAATACACAATGCACTCACCTGTGCTCTCCTTGGAGTTCATGCAGGCTGCTCCTAGGGTGGCTGTTCTGAGTCATGCTGCTGGGAACATTCCTGTGGGGAATTTAACTGCTCCATCCTACAGGGTGTGTATCTGGGAATGGAATTGCTGGGTCAAAGGGTAGGTAAATGTTTAGTTTTAATAAACACTGCCAAACTTTTTGTGGGCACCTTTGTTATAAATCAAGTGACCAAACCTGTATGAGTCTGTTAATATTTTTAAAAATATTATTACATATTCATTGCAAAGAATTTTTTGGTATGTAGATATTTTTTATGCCTGTATACTACTATTAGGTGATTTATTTAATATTTCCTATATCATTGGGGATTTCTAATTTAAAGCTGCTAGTCAATCATATCATACACTCTGGAATATTTTCCCACGTGCTCTTAGGTTAGTATCATTTACCCATTTCTCTGCAGGAGCCTTCTCCTGTGTTTATTACACGCCCCCCCCGCCCCATACCAGGGATCAAACTCAGGACCCTGCACTTGAGAAGCAAGCATGGTGCCACTGAGCTAAATCCCCAGCCTTTATTACCAATTTTTTTAAGCAATAAAGATCTTAAGCCTGAGTGTACATTATTTTAAAAAGTCTATTTGTTGCTTTTTTCTTTTAACATTGAGGAATTGGAACTTTTGGTATTGAAATTTTGGGATTACTCTGATGCTTAAGCTGGTCTTCCCTCTCCAGTGTTCAATGAACATGCAATTCTCTTTTTCTAATTTCCCTATTTGATTTCCAAAGACATCTCTTTAAGTCATCCAGAATTACTTTGATATATGGTAGGTTTCATATGTATGTCCATGATCACTTTATTTTTTGTTTTTTGAGACAGGGTCTTGCTATGTAGTCCAGGCTAGTCTTGAACTCACTATGGAGCCCAGCCTGGCTTGGAACTCAAGGCAATCCTCCTGCCTCAGCCTCCTGAGTGCTGGGATTATAGCACAGGTGTGCGCCACCATGCCCAGCTTCTGAAAGTCCCTTTTGAAAAAGGCACAGAACCAGTGTTTTGAAGTTACATAGCCTGCAGGGGCAACTGGGCTCCTTCGCTCACTGGCCTCTCCTCCCTCTGCTCTAGTCCTGGGCCCTGTGGAAATGGCCCTCACAGTCATCATGACCCTCCTGGCCCTGGGCTCAGTGGGCATCTTCCTGGAGGATGCTGTCTACCTGCACAGGAACACCAGCTGTCCGATCAAGCGCAGGACCCTGCTGTGGAGCAGCTCTGCACCCACGGTGAGGCCCTGAGCTGCTCTGGGGGCTGGAAGGAGGCGGGACTGTCTTGGGAATGCCTCTAAATGCCAGAGTAGTCTACAGACTTTGCCTGCCACTGCCACCCGGGATGAGGGGCAGAGGTGGCAGGGTGGGGGTGAGAGTCGGAAGGCCGGCCAGCAGTGCCAATTCCAAGGGTGTGGACAACTGGAGAACCTGCTCCCCAGGGGGGCATTTGTTATCTATCATTCCAGTTGCAACCTTTGCTTTCTATTGGATTTTGGTGCTGGGGTTGGAGCTTGGCCTCGCAGGTGTGCGCCCACACTAAGGATGGTGCCCGGGCGAGCACCTTGCCTCTCCTTGCCTAACTGCAGCCTGCTCCTCCCCACACAGGTGGTGTCCGTGTTCTGCTGCTTTGGCCTCTGGATCCCTCGCTCGCTCACGCTCGTGGAAATGGCCATCGTCTCGTGAGTGTCGCCCCAGCCATGGCTCTGGGTGGCAGTACCTGCTGATCAGGAATCTGCCCTCCAGCCTACACTGAGCTCCTAACTTCCGGTTCTGCTCAGGGCATGCTTTAGTGGGCACATTCCTGTTACCTCTTTGTCCCCACGGCCTAAACTTCCCTCCACCCCAGTCCTCTCTCTCCTCTTAGATCACAGTCCAGAACACCATCCCTGATTGTCTTCCTTGCCTGTGTCCTTGGGTGTCCCCTCCACCGACCCACCATGTACCTGTGACCTGCTTCTCCCCCACCCCAGGTTTTACTCACTGTGCTTTTACCTGCTCATGCTGGTCATGGTGGAAGGCTTTGGGGGGAAGGAAGTGGTGCTGAGGATGCTGAAGGACACCCCGATGAGGACCCACACGGGGCCCTGCTGCTGCTGCTGCCCCTGCTGCCCCCCTCTGCAGCTCACCAGGTGAGGCAAAGCGGAGGATGGGAGAGTGGGTGCCCACCTCACTCCGGGGAGAGAAGCCACACACTGGGGAATGGCTGGCTGCCGCCTTGCCCCTCTGCCCACTGTGGCCGATGAGCTGGAGGTCAGCACCCTTGGATCCAGGGCAGGTGCTGGTGTGGAGGGGAGAGAGGCAAGGAGGGCTATGATGGCCCACAGGGGAGAGGACAGGGAGGCGTTCAGGGTGGGTGTGTGGGCCCATGTTCTGACCCACTCCCCTCAGGAAGAAGCTGCAGCTGCTGTTCCTAGGCCCCTTCCAGTACACCTTCTTCAGGATCTCACTGGGCCTGGTTGGCCTCTTCCTCATCCCCGATGGCATCTACAATCCAGCAGACGTAAGCCTGGAGGAGGGGGTAGTGAAGTCCAAGATCACTTGGTACCTTTGGGCCCCAGAAGGCACAGCCCCAGGGCCAAGGAGGCTGTGGAAAAGCTGAGGTCCAGGCACTCCAAGGGAAAGAGACGAGGCTAGAACTGGCCAGTGTGCTACAGTCTTGTGATCTTTTCCGGAACTTGGGAGAGGAGAAGGGAGGCAGGGCCCGCTCCCTCACTGACTGCTTCCGGGCTGCCACCAGATCTCAGAGAAGAGCACTGCGCTCTGGATCAATACACTGCTCGGCGTGTCCACCTTGCTGGCTCTCTGGGCCCTGGGCATCCTCTTCCGTCAGGCCAAGCTGCATCTGGGCGAGCAGAACATCAGGGCCAAATTTGCTCTGTTCCAGGTAACTATACCACTGGAGGGCAAAGCAGTTTCACAACAGAGCTATAATCCTTCAGGCTGAGGTGGCGGGAATAACAGGCTAAAAGCAGGACCGAAAAACTTCCGCTTAACTGTGGGTTTCCTGTGAGTGGGAAAAAATGGCCTCTGCCTTCCCATGTTTTTGGTCTTCTATGCTGTAATAGTTTCCAGGGATGCCATAACAAAATAGCACAAACCAGGTGGCTGGAAACAACAGAAATGCACTGTCTCAGGGTTCTGGGGGCCGGAAGTCCAAAATCAAGGTGTGAGCAGGGCCAGGCCCCTTAGGAACCTGCCACCTCTTGGGAAAATCCTACCAAGGCACGCTTGTCTACCTCCTAGGCCTTGGACTCTTTAATCCCAAAGCTGACCTTTCCACCAAGCGTAGCTGTGACCCTTCTCTCTTCCTTCTTCCGTCTCCTTGCTGGCACCAGTCTTGCTCTCCTGCGTCACATCATGTCTGCTGCGTAGTCAGCAGACCGACTCACACTGCTCACTGGTCTACGCAGGCGCAGCCCAGAGGTGAATTGCCAGCACATTGCCTGTTTTCATCTTTTGAGTTCCACATCTTCTCTTTTTATTGTAGTGAAACACACCATGAAATTTACCATCTTAGTGCTTTTCAAGTGTTCAGTTGTGTGGCAGGAAGGACATTTACACCGATGTGCAACTGTCACCACTACCCATGTTTAGAACTTTTTCATCTTCCGCAACTGAAAGTCTGCACTGCCAAGTACGAATTGCCCAGTGCCTACCCCCCTCCGGCCCCTGGCAAGGCAGTATTCTGAGAAGAGTTTGCGTAGTTACTGTCCATGTTCTAGGTACTTGAACCAAATGGGCTTTCTCTTCTCCAGTCATCTGCCTTTCTCTTCTCCAGTCATCTGCCTTTCTCATCCACCAGCAGCCATGGTTAAGGGTGGGAACAGCTTGTCAGCAACTCTAATAACATATTGGGTAGAAGATTGTAGTTTGTCTAAACATTAAAACTCTGTGATCAGTGCGAATCCCAGCCTCCTGTGAAGGCAGAGACCCTGTGGCGGGCTGACAGGAGCAGGGGAAGAGCAAGACCTCAGGGCTCTCTGTCCCGCAGATGCTCCTCATCCTGACCGTTCTGCAGCCTGCCATCTTCTCCCTCCTGGCCAATGGCGGCCAGATTGCCTGCTCGCCTCCCTATTCCTCTAAAATCAGGTCTCAAGGTGAGCACCTCACTGTGGACAAGACAAGGGTGGCTCAAAGGAGAGAGAGCCTTGGAACAGGTCCACCTGACCTCCACTTTGTGTTCAGCAAGGGGCCTAAGAAGTCCAAGCTGTTCAGGGACTGAGCTCTCTGATCACACAGCGGACTGCAGCCCTGCAGCCTGGAGCCAGGCTTGACGGCCAACCCCAGAAGCCCTGGCCTCAGGCCTGCACTGCAGGAGAGGGAGATGCTGGGAAGCTGAACACATAGGAAATGGGGCATTGTGCTGGCCTCAGATTAGAGGGTGGGGAGCCACATTCTGGTTCTGCTCCACCACAAATCTGCTGTTACTCTGAGATTTGGGGTCAGTGGAGGAACTGTTGCTGGCCATAGTGGCCAGGGTGACTCCCTAGCCAGGCTGCGACCTGGCACATGACCTGTTCCATCCCACCCCATGCTCAGTGATGAACTGCCACCTCCTCATCCCGGAGACATTCCTGCTGACTGTGCTGACGCGGAGGTACTACCGAAGGAAAGACCACAAGGCTGGGTATGAAACCTGCTCCTCTGCAGACCCGGACATGAGCTCACGGGCCTGAGGGCTCAGGCAGCAGAAAAACGCTGGGCTCGCAGGACAGCACCAGGTTTCATGGCCCCTCAACCTTGACCAAACAGGCAAGTTTCCAGTGTCGGCACTAGCTAGATCCCACTCACTGGAAAGAGGAAGGGAAACTATGCGGGTATGATGCAATTGTTTTGGGTCTTGCCCAAGAAGGTATTTTAAATTTTGTAATAAACAGAGTCTGAGAGTCTGTAACTGGGGATGCTGCTTCTGTGGGTGTCACTGACAGCCCTGCCAGCTGTGTGGAAAGGTCACTCTGCTTTCCCGAAGCAGAAGCAAGAGGGAAGCAGAGAGTGGTGTGTGTGGTGTAAGAGCTGGAGGGGATGGCTGGGAAAAACCGCATTCTCAATCTAAGGCTTTGGGAGGACACGCAGAGGGGTTCTTTCCTTACAAATGTGTCCCTGGGGTGTGGATGACAACAGGCCGGGAGGTCCAGAGCTTTCTTTCAGGGGTCACTAGCTTTGTGAGCATTCTGTGCTCAGCTCCAAAAGGAAGTGTCAATAACGTGGTCATGAGGCTGGTTCTTAGAGAAGTCAGGATGCAAACATAAAGGAATTGAAAGCCCAAGTTCAGTTTCCAGTGCCTAAAATGCACATACACATGCAAAACACAGGAACTAGAATTCTAGGTAAAACCACATTGCCTTTATTTGGCCAAAATAACTCAACAAATGAACCACAGATGGGAAAGATGCTTTATTGAACCCACCTGAGGCAAACTTCCTTCGGCCCTGTCCTGGTGGTAGGCAGGCACTGTGCCAAGGCTGCAGCTCTTTCCAATGCTGTCTTCTTTGCAGGCAGGATCCTCCACACGAAACACCCAATCAAGCCATCTTGGTGTTTAAAACAGTCAGCACCTCCCAAAAACCAGGGTGGAAGACCCGCTTCAACCTAAAGGGACCTGCACCAAGTCGTCTGAATGTTTAATCCCCAGTCTGAGTACTAACACAATACTTTGGCAGAGAGAAAATCTTCTTTTTAAGACAATTAATGTTTAATGGTGTAACTCCCAAGAACATGTTCTACTTATTTATTTGGAAAAATAGAGGCTAGGGATAACTCTTTACCCCATAACAATCTATGAGAGAAAACAACAGCCAAAAATATAAGCTCTAAAAATACTTATATTGGTAAGCCTTAAAAATGCCACTAGTTTGTAAAACACTGTTAAGGGAGCTTTTAAAAAAAAATTGTCTTTCCCTGTATTGGTTCAACTTCTGGTGAATATATGATGACAGAAGATCGAGAAGCTATGGCTTTTAGGGAATGAAAGGAAAGCAGTAAAATGTAATTGATTTGGAAAGCTTTTAGACAAGGGATGTGGAACAGGATGAAGAAGGCAACAAGCCCTAGGGAGGAAGCTGCCCACAAGAGTGACGATAACCCAGAAACAGAGTGGCAAAGCACTGGGGACAGCCTAGTGCTGCCTGACCAGCTGCCTGGCCACCATCACTCAGGTGTTGCTAAATCATCAGCGATCAGAAAGAATCAAGTTACTCTATCTCCTTCACATTTTTTCTCCTGCAGCTTTTTTTTTTTTTTGGCTTTCTGAGACAGGATCTCACTATGTAGTTGAGGCTGACCTCAAACTCACAGTGATCCTCCTGCCTCAGTCTCCCCTGGGTTGGAATTACAGGTGAGTGCCACCATGCCCAGCTGCCTTTAGGATTTTCAGCCTCCTTACTTCCTCAACCTTCTCCCCATGCTTTTGCAGAGTAAGGGTCTTTGGCTTTAGCTATCAGAAGCAAGGCAGCAGAGCGAGCAGTCCATTTTCTAGTTTCAGTCTCTAGTCTTCAGTGCTCCTCCACATAGGGTATGAAAAGGTCGCTGCTGAGTCAATCCCTCCTCAGTGCCAAGGCTCCCCCTGTCCTGCAGCCCGAGGTTTGGAGGCCAAGCAGCTTCCTTGTGTGGGATTCAGGGAGCACTGCCAGCCTCAAACGTCCACATGGGACAAACTCTAGCCTCACTTAACTGAGTACAGGTGGCCCTCAGGGTGGGCATCATTCCCACAGCACCTTTGTCCACCACCTAGGATCACGAACTCCCCTGAAGGATCTGTCCTACCACACTGTGAGTTTCTGATTTCAGCACAGGCTAATCTGAGAATACACCATGTTGGGAGGCCAAGGCATCCCAAGGGCAGGGAGCCCCCTAGGGACACGTGCATGGGCCAACCCCAGCCGTCATACACGTACGTGTAGCCTAGAGGCCCCACGCCAAGCCCAGGGCCTGCCCAAGAGCAACTGAGGGAGGAAAGCGAGACAAGCAGGGCCAAGCAACACACCAGAGCACCAGGGCAAGTGAGGAAGCCCGCACGGTTCCGGGCCGCTCCCTGTTCTGGTGCACTCAGGTGGCATGGGCACCCCCAGAACAAGCAGTGGGTTTCAACAGCGACCTCAGGGCCTCTCCATCCCAGGAAGAGTAAGGCAGAGACAAACGGGCAGCATTCCCAAGAGGGAACACCTGAGCAGAAAAGTTAGAACATGAGCTGATATAAAGCTGTGTACGTAGGAAGACGTTAACTTCTACCGTCAAAGACGGGGTCCAGGCCGAAGCTCGTACAACCAGACTGGATAGTACGAAGTGCGCTCCAGGAGAGGAGTTAGACATGTAGTTCCATGGGCCAACAGGGCAAGAGGTCCGTCCTCTATCCCTCTGCCCTGCTGGCTGCCACCTGCCTGGGCCATTTGAGTTAAGCCTACGTAGTCATGCTATGAAGGCAGAAGAGCAGCCTTGACCAGGAAGTGTCATGGAGGGGACTATACTGTCATGGTGCAGGGGCTACAAAAGGGAAAATGTGGTTTTCTTTGCTGAAAACTTACCCCCACAAGGGGTATTTATGAGTGACAGGGGGCAGCTTGGACATGAACGCTTTCCCCCACTCCAGCTACAGGATTTCGGATGGGTGACAATCTGCCAGGTCACATGGCTGAGGTGATAGGATGCTAAGGGATTTGAAATCAGTGTGTTCAACAGCAAGTGCCAAGCATCAGCATTCTTTGATTTGAAATTCAAATGTACAATTCCCAGAGGGCACCCTGAGCAGGGAGGGGCCCACCAGGCACAGGTGGGAGAGGGAAAAACCTGCCAAGTGCTTTTCACGGGAACCCACGCCAGAAGTCCCTGCCGTGCAGCCCTCAGAGGGAAAGAAATACTCCACCCTGGTTCTCATCAAGAATGTTAAGGGGGCAGAGGGCAGTATAAGGCTGCGGTTTTAGAAAGGAAAGTTCTTCATGCTTTGGCTCCACGTCCCATGCCAATCTGTACTCAGTACTCGGTGTCTAAGAGCAACAGAAATGAAGAAACTAAGTTCACACTGTGGACATTCTGTCAGAGAGGCTAACAGTGGCAGGGCCAGAGCCGGACTCGCAGATGAATCTAAACTGACTGTGCAGGATTAATTCTGTCCTACTCCCCTCTCAGTCACCATAACCCTCACAGTGTCCCTTCCTTTAAGGGCAGGTAGCAGGAGAGAGACTGACAAGAGCTCCCACATAACTGGCCAACAGAATGTTCTGAGAAGACGAACACAGGAGAGAACCTGCAGCTGGTGCCGTGTGGTCTGGTTCTGTTCCCATCAGTATCTTCATGGACCCCACTGGGTCAACAAGAAACTCCTCAGGGAGTAAGAAAAGTTAGGCTCAGATCCTCTTCTCACAGCCACGCTGACATGCGCCAGCATGCACCAGCGGCATAGCCAGGGGACTTGTGCGAGTCACTCTTAGCTTGTTTTTAAGGACACGGAGATTACGCCATTCCCCTAAATTGCCCATCAGCATGGCTCACGGCTGCAAGGACTTGGCAAGCCACTTTGCTTCAGGACAGAAGGCAGACATTACAGTGTATCAGGAAGAAAAGGCCGCTGGGTATTACACCGCCTCCTTCTTCTGCCCATTCCTCAGGGGCAGAAAATTAGTCCTACTTACTATATTTGAAAGACTATTTTTAAAAAATTAACAAAAATGACAATTTCCCTGTCAAGATCACATGAACAGAAACAGTAAAGCAAAGTCCTTGGGGCAGGGGTGGGTGGATGCAGCCAGGCTTCTAAGGTGCAGCCGGCCTCCTTGGTGTGGTGACAGATGTCTCTCAAGGGTGGGCTGCTTGGCTCCCCATTCTCAGGTCCTCTTGCCCCCCAGTTCTTTCCTTTGTAGCTGTCCTTAGCCTTAGTGTTAGGGTCACAATGTGGAACTGACAGAGAGCTTCTGAAGGTGACAGGACAGAGGGAGGGAGAGGAAAGGGATGAAAGTTAGTCTTCCTCATCCTCACTGATGTCGTAGGCCATGGCCTTGCGCCTAGAGAGACCGGCTGGGGAGGGCGGCGGGGACGTCTTGCCGGAGAAGGGCCAGCGGAAGGAGGGGGAGGGGGAGCGCTCCCGCGTCGGGCTGCTGCTGGGGCTCTGCTTGGGGCTGATGGCCTGCAGCATCCGGCCTTTTCCCTCTTTCAGCATGTGTTTCTGGGGAGACCAAAAGAAGAGTTAGCAGACTCCTACGGACCAGCTAAGTCACTGCTGGAACACCTGAGACTTCAAAGAGCACGAGTGCCTCAGTGATTTGTTTTCTGAGTTGCTGGGGATCTGACCCAGGATCTCAGGCTGCTAGGATAGAGCTACTACCGAGCCCCGTCCCAGCCCTCCCATGTCCGGTCTGCCTGAGTCTGCTATAGGAGGGACAGCTACGATTCTCAGTGATTTCCTCTGGAAAATGAGCTATGCCAGTGATGGGGAACCTTATCAAGCTTTCAATGATACAAACAGCCCACTGTGGCACATGTGCCGTAGGTTCGCCACCACTGTTATGCTGTGCTACTTGCTTCCCCTACCTACTCCCAGGTCTGCCCCAGTTCCCATCTGTCATCCAGTCACCACCACCTTGACTTCTATGTCAAAGAAATTCTTCGAAGGCTACTTAGTCTGTAATCCAGTTTCCAGGCAAAAAACAAAGGAACTAACTCAGATGAAAGAGGATCTAGCCGTTTTTTGTTGTGTTCTGTTTTTGTGTTTTTTGAGACAAGGTCTCCCTCTGTAGTTCAGGCTGGCCTTGAGCTCACTCTGTAGCCCAGGCTGGCCTGAAACTCACAGTGGTCCTCCTGCCTCAGCCTCTTGAGTACAGGGATTATAGGCGGCCACCACCACACCTGGCTATCCCCGCTTTTGAGTTCTCTGGAGAGGCAATCCCACATTCTTCCCGAAAAAAATCAATTCCATATCCAAACACCCCCACGGTCAGATCACTCCTGATTTGCCTGGACCCACTCCCCTGGGGTCCCACCGTGGCTCTCTGCAGTGAAGGTAGCTTTTTGGACTGTTCTTTATTCTCTCCTTTCCTTCCATCAAAACCATACTGTAGAAGTACAACGCACAAAGCTACTAGCTTATCTTGTCACTGGACTATGAGGCTGGGAAAGAGCTGGCAAGATTATTTAGGAAAATGTGTAACTTCTTTCTGGAAGGATTTGAAAAAATGTTTGTGGTAATCGGAACGGTTCTCCCAGATACAGGGGAACAGAGTAGGCAGCTTAACACTGATGTGCCTTTCTGCTTATGGGCTCTGTGATTCTCTCCTCAGCACAGAGGTTCCCTGAATTTCCCTGAAATTCCCTAAATTGTCCAATGGGAAAGAACCATACCAGTGCTCCTTCTGGACCGAACATTTCCAGGAAATTGCCAATGAATTCTCGGGATTTCTCTTCCCATTTCTGGATGAGGTCAATGCTTTTTTCCTCCACCTTCTGAACAAATTCTTTGGACTTTTCCTCCACATCTTTTACTTTTTTCTTTACTTTGTCAACCCGCTCCTGTAGGTGATATTTCTTCTCCTAGGTGAAGAGTTAACAGTTGTGAGAAATAATATCCATCTGACCTTCTCTACCAAAAGAGAGAGGAAAAACAGTTACTGACACTCTTTTCAGTGTTTATAATTTTGCTTTGCTTTAATCTCATTCAGCACACTAATAGAAAAGATGAACTCTGGACGGACACTGTATACAAAGGTGTGGTAATTCAGGTGAGACCCAGTGACAGGCAGGCACACAGCCAAATGAAGTCATGTTTTAAGATAAAACCAACATGACCCAAACCTCTTTCTGGATGAAGGCCTTTAGGCAGCAAGAAGACCAGGAATATGCCCATTATAACAGATTGGAAGTACAAGTACTAGGTCTTTTTTTATTATTAATTTTATTGGTACAATTTAGATATAATGATCACATTCATCATAGGGAATTTGTACCTGTACATGGAAAGTACTAGATCTTTACTGGACTGGATTTTTTCCTATTACTGGCTTATTTTATGATTTTAGATGAGTTGAGTGTTTTATTTTTAGTATTTGAAGGTTCATTTACTCATTTACAAAATGAAGACACTCTCTGGTCCTACCAACTTTCCTAAAGACAAGGGAAAATAGGATAAACTCTCATGTGTGCGTGCGTGTGTGTGTGTGTGTGTGTGTGTGTGTGTGTGTGTGTTTGGGTGTGTTTAGTGAAATGAAAACTATTCTCATAATTTCCAGATCGTAAGAAAGGGATGAGCTGGGCATGGTGGTGCATGCCTATAATCCCAGCACTGGGTCTCAAAAATAAAAGGAGACCAACTTCACCCAGAGAATGTAAATGTTATGGACTGCAAACACGTAGGTATAAATAAATAAATGTAAAAAAAAAAAGACAGGGAGAAATTGGGGTGTAATTCAGTGATAAAGTACATGCTTAGTTGTACAAGACCTAGGAGGAGGAGTGAATGGAAGGAAGAGGAGGAGGAGGGAGAGGAAGAAGATGGAGAAGAGGAGGGAGAAGAAGGAGGGGAGGGGAAGGGAATAAAGAAATATGTTTAAGGTTTTCAATTTTTTAAAAAATGTCTATTAGTCTGTGTTTGCAATACATAATGATTACACATTGGAACTCTTTTTCCTTCTCTTTCCCCTCACCTCTCTCCATCCCTTGGTCCTTCCGATCTGTGAAAGATCTGTCTGTGTTTAAGGTCTTTAAACATCTGAGTCTCATGGGAAAATGAGATTCTGTAGCAGACGGATTACTGACAGCTAGGGTCTTTTTGCAGAGATAAATCCTATTCAGATGAAATCATTTCACCTGTGCACACAGAAAGATACACAGAGCTGGGGGCAGCGCGGAAAGCATGATTAACTGGTTATGGAGGAGATATAGTTCGTAGCTTTTTTCTCTTTTAAATCAACTTTGCTGAGGCATAATTTATAGACAATGTGCAGTTTTTTTAAATTGTGCAATATTAAGCTAAGATAAACATAAGTTTTCATAAGTTAAAATTTAAAGTTTGGATCCATATGGAGAAATTGCATCCAAAATGTATGTCATGGATCCATAGCTTTCATCAGATTTTCATAAAAGCATTTCATCAAGAGAAAAGCTAAGAGCCATTGTTTTAAATGTGTTGACATAAATAATGTACTTTTTTAAAATTTTGGCTTTTTGAGACAGAGTCTCACTATGTAGCCCAGGCTAGCCCCAAACTCAGTGATCCTCCTGTCTCAGCTCCTGAGTGCTGGGATTACAGGCATGTGTCACCATGCCCACCTAATAATATGCTATTACATCATGCATTCTTCTTCATGTAATCGGTTGCATGTCCTGTACCAGTATGTTGGCATCAGACCATTAAGGCAGGAGCTGCCTCTGTTTACTTATTTTCTGCCTCTGCTCAATTCTCTTTGTGAAGAGCTCACCAAGATTCAAGCTGCAGAGAGGGCTGCAGTGGCTTTGGGGAGTGACAGTGACAGTGACTCAAAAGCAAGCTCAGCTCAGATGGAGGGAAGCCCCGTGTCCCCTGGAGCCAGGGAACTGTGAGGCAAGGGTGGAACTCACATTGATGAAGCTGACGTTGAGCTCCTTGGCCGTGTAGCCCCGCTGCAGGTTGCGTCTGGCGTACACATCGTAGTCACGGACAATCCGAGTGATGATGTCTGACGTGGAGATGCCTTCTGTCCTCTGTGTTGGCGCGAACATGCCTAGCTCCAGAACACACAGACACACACTGTGATGCTCAGCGTGTGCAGGCAGAGGAAGGGGAAATGGGAGCAGCACTCCTTCCTACACTAGAAAGGAGCCCCGCCACTACTGCACCAAGCCTCCAAGCATCAGGCAACAGAGGCGAGGCCAGGGCAAAGAGGAGGAAGAGCAATAGGGAAACATGGGGCTGAGGAAACCTTCTGAAATTAATACAGATATCAAAGTTAGATGTTCAGACCAAGCATTGGTGGGTGTCAGTGCTGTGTCCACCTTTGTTCATCCAAAGTGTGACCAGTGTCACATTTCTCAATGGCGTTTTCTGCTGTGAAGTAATGATGTGGCCAAATCTAAGCCACCCTGCTCACCTGCCTCCTTGATGTGCTTATAGACATCGTCGCTCCCAGCAGAAGAGTAAGGGATGTCATCATGGGCTACGAAATCAATCTGAAAACAAGGAAACATCACTTAAAACCTAGGACAACTGCCATTCAGAAAGACCACAGAAATGTTCTCAGGCCCAGAAAAGGACAAAGCAGCACAGGTAGGGCTTTTTTTCTGTATCTCGCTTTGCTTTGCTGATAAATTCCAATGACCAATTCACAAACCACCCACCCGGTTACTTATGGATTAGAAACAGGAAGTCAGCAGCTCATCTCTAGGTATTCCTCCGGGTTTGCTGGGAGTGCTGCCTCCCCTCTGTACACTTGTGTCATGCTGTGGTAATGCGGCAGGCAGGAGGGCTTTCTGGTTAACTCCTCAGTGGGGAGAGCTAGAAAAGAGGGAAATCTCCCTGTCCTCCCAGGTCCATGAGGATTGGTCAACTGAGGACTTCTCAAAGTATGAAAAGAGGGTACTTCTGTGTTAACTGGCTTCTCTCTCAGTTCCTGAGAAAAGGGGGAATATAAAAATAGCTACCACAAGCCCTTTTCCTAGAAGAAATATATCTGTACTACTAAGAAAAGCAGTATAAAAGCCACAGCTATAAAAGCCCTTTTAGGCCTCAGGATCTCAGAGTGCTGTCAATATGCTTTTCGAACTCGGGAGGAGATTAATGGCACTGGGATCAATCATCTCTCTCTTTTTTTTTTGGTACTGGAAATCGAACTCAGGACTTTGGGCTTGCCAGGCAGGCGAGGTGCCACTGAGCTAAATCCACACCCCAATCAATTATCTTTTTGAGAGACATGCTAAACCTCATTATGTACTCCTTCCTGAAGGGGGCATGGGCTCTCAAGAGGTCATCTAATCGCATTACATGAGCAATGTACCCAACTCCCAGAGGCCCCTGCAGTGTGAAGCGTGTTCTGGGACTCTAGCTAACACCCCAAACACCCACGTGCACCCTATCAGGATCCATGGGCAGCACAGTAAAGCATGGGGTGAGCGAGACTCATGGCTGAGATACACAGCTAACCAGGAGGAAGAGGAAGTTGGGAGTTCCTTCGCCTCCGACTTCTTGCCTGTGTGTACTGCTGAGAATAATCTTGCTCCTCACCCTGTGTGCCACCAATGAATAAGCGTTGATGTAGAAATGCTAGAGAACTATAAAGGGTCTGTCCTAATCCTACACAGTTGAATACATAGCTTCAGGCCTACCAGGTACTGTTGGGAGCAATGCTACATAATTCTAGGGAAAAATCATTTGAGTAGGCCTAGTTCTCCTGCCTACAGGCCAGCTATGACATTCCAGACATAATTCCATTTTGGCCTCGGGTCACAACTGAGACCTCTGTGATCCCCGGATGCTGTAATGCTTCAGGACAAGACCACACCTGCGGGAGATGCCAGGGAAGAACCAAATCTTCATCTGCATAGTTCCTCATTGTTCTTAGATTTCCACTGTCCCCCAGTCTTTTTACACCTTGTTTATCCCAATGTGAAGTACTTGAACTCTGCATTCCACTTGTTACATCTGTTTCCCCATGTACTGAATAAAAGGTGCTAGAAGCTAGGGGGCTCTTTGTCTTTGCTGCCCAGAGCAGCACTGATCAGACCCAAAGCTCAGCTTCTTCTCAGTCTCATTTTTCTACCTTTCCTGTAATTCGCCATGTACTGCCGTGGCTCACAGGAGACTAGGACTTACTGCAGAGGTTCTGGTAATGTCCCCTTCCCCTGTTCCCTACAAGATACTGCTTCAGGAGCACTTTGGCTACCTTTGTTCTTTCTGGCCTCCCTAAACAATTCTCACACAAGCTCCACACGCCACAGTAGGTATCTGACAGTGTGCCTACTGGTTCTGTAAGTCTGAGGGTCTTCCACTTGACCCATATATCCTTCTCATCTTTTGTAGGAAACCTGTTATTTTAATGTGGAAGAACTCAAAGGAGGTTAGGAGCTTTCTAATAATAACAACTCACTCCTGAGTAACAGTGAGAAACATCCTCGATTTCTGATCCCACACAATTTCTAGCCCCAAATCAAAGCCCTGAAATGAAATTTAAGGCAGCAGAACAGAAGTAACATTAATCCCTCTTGTTTCTCAGAATATGAACTTCTTCAGTGATGGCTGGGCTACAGATACCCTAAAGAACTGGCAGGCTAAAGGGTGGATGCATCTCTTCGCAAGTGTGGGGCAACATTACATAACTGAGGCGATGGTTGCAGCTCTGTAACGGTGTAATCTGGAGCAGGCTCTTTGGTCTCTCTGGGCCTTGGTCCTCCCGTGTAAAGTGGAAATAATAACTGTCCCAACAAGATTGCTTCAGGAGCAAATGGAGGCTAATGGCTGTGAAAGTGCTCGTAAACCATCAGGCCCCACAGATGTAGGGATGACTAATACTGTGAATGATATCACTGCAAGGCTCTGTAAAACTCACACAGATGATATAAGAGAGGGCTAAGGGAAAAGTAGCCTGAGTGCCAGTAGCCGTGAGCAGAGGGGCTTGGGAACACAGGATGGGCATGTATGGCTACATCCTTACCCGGTGCTCTGCCAGGAACTCGGGGGTCAGGGTCCAGGGCGCGTTCCTCACCACCTCGTCCACGTAGCGGCAGTGCTGCACCGCATCATAGCGCTCGTTCTCGTTCATCACTGTGAAGCCTTTGAAGTTGTGTGTTAGCTCATCGCTGCAGACTGCGGTCACCGAAAGAAAAGCTGTAAGTCAAGGTCCCCTTCACTTAACCCTCCTCAGTCTCCAACCTCTTCCCAGACCCACAACCATCCTCCCCACCTCAAGAAAAGACCTTCTGGGTGTAGCTCAGTACCAGTGCTTTTCCTAATCCAAGCTCCACCTTCCAGGGCAATATCACTAAATAGAGCAAGTTCACACCGTTGAGGAGAGGGCATGGCAGGGACTAAGGTCTCTGACTTTAAAAGGAACCTGCTGTGTGCTTGTGTGTCAAGCAAGTTTTGTTTTTGTTTTTTTTTTAATGTCTTCCTGGGGGCTGGGGATTTAGCTCAGTGGCACTTCCCCTGCCTGGCAAGTGCAAGGTCCTGAGTTCAATCCCTGGTACTGCCAAAAAAAACAACAAAAATGTCTTCCTACTTTATAAAACTGGACTGGACAACAGCAGAACATCTGCTTTGCCAACTTTTGTATTTTAGTGTATTGAGAGTTCAATGCCAGATGTCTTGGGTCAGAGAGCTTGCAGGTCTACAACCCAGGCTAGAGTGGAGCACCTCAGAGACTTCATGTTGTGAGGAGGCTGGGCCAACTCTGTCATTTAAAGATGGAAAAAAGGCACAGCTGCAATCCTAGCACTTGGGAGGCTGATGCAGGAGGATCGTAGCAAGTTTGAGGCCATCTTGGGCTACATAGTCACTTCAAGGCCAGCCTGAACTACATAGCGAGACCCTGCCTCAAAAAACCAAAACCAAAACCAAAACAAACAAACAAAAAATGGAAACAAGGGCCAGTATACTGAGGTCACACGGACAGGAGGGAGAGAAAGACAGCTGGGATCTTTTTCCAGGCATTTCTTACCTCCCACAATGAGGTATGTATTAGGGAAGAGGTTCTTCGCTTGCATCAGCGCCCGGGCATGACCAGAGTGAAACAAGTCAAATATTCCGTCTGCATAAACTCGCACAGGCCGCTCATCTAATCCAAATGAGAGAAGGCGTCACCACACACATTTACTCACCACCTCCTATCTGACGAGATGAACTCGGCTTTGTGTGTGACTGTTCCACCGCTCCACACTCCCCTCTTCTGGGGTTGTCTCGGTAGTCACCCTAACGGGGAAGTTGGGGTGAACTCACAGACATCCTTGACTACAATGACTCGAGACATCTTCTCCACTTACTCTCTGAAGCCAGCTTGTATCAAACTTCTCTTCTCAGATACAAAAAAAAGTAGGATAGGGGCCCAGGATTTAGCTCAGTGGCACCGCTCCTGTATCGCAAGCACAAGGTCCTGAGTTCTATCTCCGGTACCAAAAAAAAAAAGGATAGCTTTCTCTTAAAGTTACTTTAGAAGTGAAAAGAGTTAGTCAATGGATATCAGTCCTGAACCTCAGCATTTCACCTTGTTTCTGATCCTTCAATTATGTGTGCACAGAGTGAAATCAAACTCCACGCTGGCTGCCGCACACTCTCATTTCTAAATTGCCTTACTTACTAACCAAAGCTTGAAAATGAATCTCATGATATTGCCCAGAGAATAGGGAGTGACCCAGGGGAGTAAGAGGGAGGCTGCGCATCTAAAGAGACCAGTTATCAATTTCTTGTCTCATTCTCAGAGTCACCTGTAATATCTGCTCTGTGTTAACGGAATTCCTTGCAGTGTTTCTCCTTTGTAATAAGCATGATGTTACATTTTTTCAGTACAGGATGACATACTAAGTATTTGAAAATCAAAAGTTCTGGCTGTCAATTTTTATTTTTGGAGATTGTGACCTATGAACAAGAGGTCAGGAGATTATCTCTTAGGGTACAAGACTACTTCCAAAGCCAAGTAAGCACACTGAGAATGAGATGGACATAACCAGTATCAAGCTTCAGGTGCCAAGTGGAAAGAGTACACTTATTTCCACTGTGTACCTAAAGGAAGAGCTATTCCTCATGCAGCAAAAAACAGCAGCAGGAGTACCTCCATCATTGTGGGGACAAAGAGTCAGAGGCCCCTCAGCTGGGCCATACTGAGGGTGGGGGGAAGACACCACCCCCATCCCAAGGGCCATGGGACCAAGGAGCAAGAAATGGCTCTCAGGAGACTTTAGATTTTTCAAATGTATCCATAAACATGCCACTTGAAACTGATGTATCATACACTGTTGATAAAAACATCAGTAACTTTTAAGAAGAGAAATTAGATAATATTTATCAACAGACAAATGTTTACGCCTTTTGGTTCAGCTATTCCAAGTTGAGAAATTTACCTCACAGACATATTTGTAAATACATGTGTTATTCACAGCAGCACTGTTCATAATAGCAAAGGTCTGAAATAGCCAAAGTTTCAGTGGAAAACTAACCTCACACATCCACTTCAAGGTGGGAGGATATGTAAATTAAATTTCCTAGATATTGACAAGAAATTGGTACTTCTGGTAGCCTGGTAAAGGGACAGAGGTGGATGGCTGTGGAAGACATTTCACTCCATGTCCTTGCTGTACTTTCCAAATGTCTAACCAAAGAGGTGTCTGGATTTTATAATACAGGAAATGAGGGGGTTTTTTGTTTGTTTGGTTTGGGCTTTTTTGGTACCAGGGATCGAACTCGGGTCCTTGTGCTTGTGCAGCAGGCGGCGAAACCACTGAGCTATATCCCTGGCCTAGAAATGAGTTTTTGAAATACATACATTAATACAATGAAAAACAGAAATAATGTTCTCTTTTGGTGCTGGGAATTGAAACCAGAGCCTCAAGCATGCTCTGTATGCATCTCCCACCAAGCTACACCCAGTCCTATAATGGATTTAAGAGGCAGAAAGGCTGTAGCTCAGGCTTTCCAAATAGCTTCCTCCTTCTGCAACCTTCACCTCTTTAAGCCTCAGTATTCTCACCTATGAGACAAAGCAAAATAAAACAAAATCTAAGTAATAGAACCCTCTTCTCTATCCTAGAAATCATGAACTAACATATTCCCGTTTTTCCCAAGCAAGTGCAGAGGGGATATGGTCTCACTTTACTTGATCCTAGAAGACAAAGGATAGGATATAGAAATTAAGAATGTTTGTCAATTTTCTTTCTTTGCTATTAAGCAGAGTCTAGGCAGGGAGAGTAAGATGGAGAAGTTTGGCTCAGGAACACACTGCTGGACAGTGGCGAGAGCATAGGACACTGCTGCCAGCGCCACTCATGCCCTACTAGGTCAAGGGCCTCACTGAGCCCTTTGTCACACCAACCCCAGACTTGTCTGCTGACCTCTTCCACGTTTCCTCAGCCTCTGGACATCTCAGTTGTCTCAGAAGCCCAAGTCCCCAGTAAACCCAGCTGGAATATTCTCCACGTGGCCACAAGGGGGCACTGTTGAACTACTCTGGGGCAAAAGCAAAGAGTTTGCCATTCTTTCCACAGTGGCTGACCAGAAAGTCATGGCTCTTGATGGGCAACTGCTGTCTCAGCGTATTATTAAGAACAAGGCCCTGTCACTCTTAAAACCATCCTGACTGGACTGTAAATTAGGTGGTTGCCCTACTGCTGCCTGAGTAACCAGAGGACTTCCTTCAGGCAGAGCCAACCTGGGCTTTAAATTTATTGTCTCTTTTGATCTATGTCCCAGATACTATCACAGAAACAATTTGTCCTTAACAGATTTCCACTATCCTTCAGACTCTTTCTCTTCCTTTGAGTGCAACAAATTGCTGCCTTTTTTTTTCCATCTTCCAAAAGATTTCCAAAATCAATCTCATGTCTTTTTTTCTTTTTTTTTCTTCTGGGTAGAGAATTTTGTCCTAGAATATACAAACCCCCCCTTCTGAGCCCCCCAAACTTCCCTAGTGACAGCCTGGTAGAAGGAAGCATGCCCATCCCTCCCCCCAGCAGTTACTGAATTAAAATTCACTATAGCTGCATAGCCACTGGCATGAATACAGCCAACTACTTGGTTATTTAATACAGAACAGACAGAAGGAGAGGTAAGAGAAAAACATAGCCAATTTGCAACTCTGTTCCACCTAAAATACAACAACTTCGCCAAGGGTCTTCCATTCTGTCAACTAATGTCTATGAAGAGCAGCTCCACTCTAGGGTAAAAGAACTCAAGGATGGAAAGATCTAGCTTTTAGCTCCAGTTCTGTCACTAATTCTCTCTAATTCTCTCATTTATTTTAGGGCAGTCTTCACTTAGGTTCCTATGGAACTTTTTTTTACCATGTATACAGCAAAGAGACTACAAAGCAGATAATCTTGAAAATGAATTACTTATACAATTATAATATCCTAAAATTTTAAACATTTAGATTTATTAGTGCTTACCAGTTATAAGCTTCAAAACTTGGAAACATTACACATATTTTTCATTTCAGTGAGGGGATTGAAGGCAGGGCCTTGCCAATGCTAAGCATGTGCTCTACCCGAGCCACACCCCAGCCCACTACACATATTTCCATCTTTATGTACACAGATAGTATGTGGGTAAATCAGCAACAGGATGGGTATTTGACCAATGGGACCAGACCCGCGTGAGGAACTGAATTCTGAACATGAGTCATTTGTGCGTAAGAAGTTCCAGGCTCCAGCAGGCTCTAGTATCCCATCTGAATGTGAACCCTGGACTGTCTGCTGGCATTCTGAACTCTGACCTGACCATTACACGGCTTCATATGAGCCTCTGCTCTTCCTTGTTTTCATTTTATTCTGCCCTCCTTAGCCAGCCTATTACTCAAATGAGGGAGCCAATCTCAAAGATCATGCCATGAGTCAGAAGAACTATGATCAACACGTGCTACTGCCAAATACTTCTGCAAAAGGATTCTATGGAAGTAGCCTCTTTTTCTTTCTTTTCTTTTTCTTTTTTTTTTTCTTCTTTGTGTGTGTGTGTGGTTTTTTTCCTCTTTTTCTTTTCTTTTCGGTATCAGGGATCAAACTCACGACCTTGTGTTTGCAAGGCAGGCATGGCGCCACTGAGCTAAGTCCCTGGTCCCTAGCCTCTTTTTCTGAGGACCCCCAAACCATAATCCACATAACCAAGACACAGGTACAGGGGTTGGGAATCCCTGGCCTGATACCATCCGGCATCATTTTGGGCGGGGGGGGGGGGCAGGGGGAATGGGACCAGGGATTGAACTCAGGACCTTGCGGTTGCAAAGCAGACAACAGCACTGAGCTAAATCCCCGGCCCTCAGCATCATTTTTATTCGCATTTTACTACTCCTTAGCCATAACAGCCATAACAAACATACTTAAGAAACAATCTAGGGCCAGGGATTTAGCTCAGTGGTTTCAATGCCTGCTATGCAAGCTCAAGGACCCGAGTTCGATCCCCGGTACAAAAAAAAAAGAAACAATCTAAAAGTAATCACAAATAACTTGTGTATATATTGGAAATGTCTACATTTGTGGCTCTAACAGCCTTTTATTCCCTAAGGTTTGCCTTGCTCTGCATTTACAGGGTAGAGAGAATATTTACCATAGTATTCAAAGAACTGAAAAAGGATTGAAAAAAAAGAGAATTGAATAATTTACAGAAAAGAACAGCTACCTAAAGGACCGTGTATTCCTTAAAAAGTGCTCAGAGGCGCTCCTACGTTGGCGATCCCTAAGACCAGCTGCTCCCAACGGGGCATAACCAGAATGCATATTAACAATTTATGTGGTTGAAACTATCAATTAATAAGGACATACATTAAGCATTTAAATAAAACATACGGGTATTGAAAGTAATAAACCAGGGCCGGGGATTTAGTTCAGTGGTTCCACCTCCTGCCTCAAAAGCACAAGGACCACAGTTCGATCCCCAGTACCAAACAAAAAACAAAAACAAAAATAAATAAATAAAATATCGGAGGGCCAGGGATTTAGCCCAGTGGTTCTGGCGCTTGCCTCACAAGCACAAGGACCCGAGTTTGATCCCTGGTACCAAAAAAAAGAAAAAGAAAAAGAAAAAGAAAAAGAAAAGGAAAAGGAAAAGGAAAATAATAAACCATGTCTTTAAAAAAAAAACTGGCAGTGCTCACTTCAGCAGCACATATACTAAAACTGGAATGATACAGAGAAGATTAGCATGAAAAAAACCCCCCAAAAACCTGGCAACTTAAAGTCTCAGTGAAGATGAAGTCAAGCCATGTGTGTCCGCTGTCTGGGGACTCTTGCCTTCTGTCAGTCAGCACTGCAGCCACCTGATGCATCAGCGTGAAGTTCAGGTGGCTGCAGGGACTCTGACAGATAGACTGATATATTATTTCAATCTTCATAAAAACAGATAAGATCATGAGGCTGTGGGTGTAGCTCTAGGGGTAGAAGCCTAGCTTGCGTGAGGCCCTGAATTCAATGCCAACCACCTCAAATAAATACCTGATGAGCAAGATCCTAACCAGCCAGACCAGTGTCTTACTGTTTCTGCTCCACTATAGCTCATGGCTGTGACGACAGCTCAGGGAACTGGTGTATAATGATGAGAAGGAAAAAAGCTTTCTAGAGTATAGTTCCCTTCCCAAACGGAGTATCAGGTCAAACATGACTAACCTTTATATGCCTTTCTGAGTAAGCTGGCGGGAGTAGAGAAAGAGCAGGCATATATCTGATAAACACAATGGAATGCTAAAACTATAGTAAGACAACAAAATAACGAAGGAGGTATTTACTTACAAGAAGTTCCTCTGCAGGCTTCTTCCAGAGTTACCCTGACATAGGGCTTAATAAAGTCAACTTCGACTTCATCAGAAAAAGGAGCTGGCTCCTGTAAGCCCTTAAGAGGAAAAAGGTGAAGGAATACAAAGTTAAATTCAATGGTACACACTGAAATATTAAAACATGTCAGCTGTTAAAGAAAAATCAATTATTCAATATCTTGTGACTAAAATTCCTAAAACTTTATAACATGAAGAAGAAAGAAAAAAAAGGTACAGTACTCCAAGCCAGGTATGCTGGCTCACGCCTGTAATCCCAGTACTTGGAGGCTGAAGCAGAAGGACTGCAAGTTCAAGCCCAACCTGGGCAATATAGTGATCTCAAGGCTGGAGATATAGCTCAATGTAAAGGCCCTGGGTTCAACCCCTGGCAACACCAACACACACACACACATGCATGCACACACGCACGTGCACAAAAGTCATTCCAAAATGATACGTGAAAGGTGTAACCTTTTTCAAAATGGGTAAATCGTGGCATGAAAAATAAATGTCTTAGCTAGGTGAGGTGGCGCATCCCTGTACCCCCAGCAATTTGGGAAGATGAAACTGAAGAATTCCAAGTGAGCCCACCCTGGGCAACTTAGCAATACCCTGTCTCAAAATAAATGATAAAAAGGGGCTGGGGATATAGCTCGGTGTGAAGGTCCCGAATTCAATTCGGGGGGAGGGAGGGCTGAAGGACAAAGAAATAGATTAATCATGATTCCTCATTAGAAATGTGTGACCATAAGGAGATGAGAAAACAGACAGGTACCTAGACAAGATGGAAGAATCAACTGAAAGTTTTTTACAGTTGAGATTTGTGCATGTCTAAAAGGTGGAGGAAAAGAAGCCAAAGTGAAAATCCCAGAGAAGGAAAATTAGGTAACTCGGAAGCAAGAGTCTAGACAAAAGGTAGGGAATGGGCTCAAGGAAAGGTGGGGGAAGATGAATGTCTAAGAAACAAGGATTTGTTTTCTAAAAGCAGAAGAAAGGAAAGGTAATAAAGGGAGAAAGTTGGATGAAAAGGAGGGAAGAGGTAGAAACTCGGATCTGATGCCCTCATCTTTCACAGCACTATTTTAGTGGGGAGTGAATTTAACTTTAGGAAGGTTGGTATGAGAATAAAATCTTTTTTTTTTTCTCACTGCCTCTTTGACCAGGTCTTTATTCAAAATAAGCTGTCCAATTTTATGTCACCTGTATGGGATAGAGATTTTGATTTTAAGAGTTTATGCAGCAGGCTTCTTTTCTTCAGCAGGTTTCTTTTCAGCTGCTGGTTTCTTGGTAGCTGCAGGCTTCTTTTTAACTGCTGGCTTCTTGGCAGCTGCAGGCTTTTTCCCTAAAGGCTTCTTCAAGGGCTTCTTGGTACCAGCAACCTTTTTTCCTTTCTTCTCTTCCATGGGCTTCTTGCCTTCAACCTTCTCTTCCAATTTGGCTGCCCGTACTGCTGCTTTATCCAGATGGATTTTGTGATTCCTGGCCTGGCAAAGAATGGTATTCCGGCTCATGGTCTTTGCATATGGGTTCAGCTTCAACATGATCCTCAGGTTCTTCAGAGGATTCTTCTTCACGACTCTACAATGAATCTTCTTGCGTGGTGCCCGGAGGGCTCTTTGGATCTCTGGACTCTTCAGGATTCTGCTCAGGTCTGTACTGATCATTTTGCGCATAGGCAGGTTACAGTTACTCTTGAGGGAACCAGCTTTATGCCAAGTGCCATACAACTCATCTAACTTCTGGAAAGCACTTTCAGTCCAAATGCAGAAGCGCCCCACATGCCCACCAGGAGCAAGTTTCAAAATATTCAGTTTGCTTACATCAAGCAGAGTAATGCCAGGGATATTTCTGAAGGCCTTGATGATACCATTGTCTTCATTATAGATGATGCAAGGTCCCCTGCGCTGGATGCGACGGCGGTTTCTCATCTTGCCCTTGCCAGCTCTCACTCACTGAGAGGCATAGACCTTTTTGATATCATTCCAGGCCTTCAGTTTCTTCAGAAGCAAAACGGCCTCCTTGGTCTTCTTGTAACCTTCAACTTTATCTTCTACAACCAAAGGAAGTTCAGGATCTTCCTCAATTCGATGACCTTTTGACATGACCAGCGCTGGCAAAGCTGAGGCAGCCAGGGCAGAGCAGATGGCATATCATTTCTGAGTTATGTTCACTCTGCGGTGCCAACGTCGCCAGGTTTTGGTTGGTGTAAACATGCGGCCTCCTCGACACATGTTTCCAAAAGCACCCTGGCCAGAACAGTGGGTCCCACCTCCTCGAACCCTTGGAATTCGAGCCACAGCTCTGCCCGTCCCCCAAGACTCAGCACTGGTCTGGTGACCTGCCAATTCACTGACAGCATAGGGCTGCCTGTTGTTTTTACGCAAGTTGGTGTGAACAAAGTTCACAATATCTGGTCAAATGAGACCCTTGAACACAGCAGACAAGGTGACATTTTTGCCAGACGACTCCCCTTTTTCGGAGTACACCGATATCAGGGGACGAGCACAAGCCATGGCGGGGAGAGGAGAAGGCCACGCTCCTCTCAACCTAGCGGCTCCCACAGGAAAAGGAAGTGCCTGAGAATAAAATCTTAAAGAAAGTAGTAAAGATAAATCTACTAGGGCAAGACCAAATGATTAATGTAACTACTGAACACTACATTCAACCTAGATCAAGCGAGAAACTTTAGATGAGCAATAAAAATGAACAGAAACAGCAAAGCACCTAGGGTTAGGACCTGGTGAATGGAAGGCAGGCGGCAAAGAGATGCAGACATTCCCCCGGAGAAGATTTATAAACAGCCAGCAAGTACATAATGGGGTACTCAACACTAGTCACCAGGAAAACGATCAGCTGGCACTTCCCACCAACAGGGATGGCTATAAAGAAGTGAGCAAAAGACTTGGCAAGATGTGAGAAGTTGGAACCTTCAAACATTGCTACTGTGAATGTAAGATGGTGCACAGCGTTGGAAAGCAGTTCCTGAGATGTTTAACATAGAATTGCGGTATGACCTAGAAACTGTACCCTAGGTATGCACCCAAGAAAACTGATAATGTGTGTTTTGTAGAAAGCAACTTATACACAAAAAGTATTCATAGCAGCATCATTCACAAGAGACAAAAAGTGGAAACAACTCAAATGTCTTCAACTACTGAATGGATAAACAAAACAATGTGCCCATATGTGGAACATTATTCCCTTCGACCTCAAGGGAATCCTACAGCCTTGCCCATCTGGTGGTGAGGTGGACAGGAAATGGCATAGGTTTAGGATTTGAAAAATTTAGAACTATATCCCAGCTGAACAGCTGTGAAATCGCAGCTAGCTTCTAAAGTTTTTGTTTTATCTTTAAAAATGGAAGACAAAGTCAGGTATAGTGGCCAGTACCTATAATCCCAGCAAGTAGGGAGGCTGAGGCAGGAAGATTTCAAATTCAAGTCTAGCCTGAGCAACTTAGTGAGACCCTGTCTCATAATAAAAATAAAAAAGGAGCTGGGAGCATAGCTAAGTAGAATACCCACTTGGTTGGATCTCCAGGACTGTAAATAATAATAATAATAATTTTTAAATAAAAAATTCTAAATATTAAAAACTAAAAAATTAAATAAAAATAGAAGATAATAATTTCCTGCCCCACAAATTTACTATGAAGATTACATAAAATAATATTTGCAAAGGAACTAGCACAATGTTTTACGTATAGCAGGCACTCAATAAATTTAACATAGATTTCAGCATACTAACAAAATTAGCTAAATTGTATTCATCTAAGAGGTTATCTTCCAAATGAGGTTATCTACATAGAGTTTCAAACTCTATGCACCTAGGGCCAGGGATATTTAGTTCAGTGGTTCTGCCACCTGCCTCACAAGTGGAAGGACCCGAGTTTGATCCCAGGTACCAAAAAAAAAAAAAATCTATGCACCTAACATTTTAACTATCTAGGCGAGGTGGTCCACACCTGTAATCCCAGCACTTAGGAAGCTGAAGCAGGAGGATCACCAAGAGACTGAAGCTAGCCTAGCCTACCTAGTGAGTTCAAGGCCAGCCTGAACTATATAGCGAGACCCTGTCTCAAAAACAAAAGCAAAGGGGTCAGGGATTTAGCTCAGTGGTTCCACTGCCTGCCTCGTAAGTCCAAGGTCCTGAGTTCGATCCCCGGTACCAAAAACACAAAAAACAAAAGCAAAAACAAAAATTTATAATAATGATAATCAGCATTACTCAAATTATGAATGCTCTGCTATACTACTTCTGTAACAATTTTTCCTATGTTTATACACATTAACTCATCATTCCTAAATCCAGGAAAAGAAAAGGGATTCTAGTGTTCATATTAACAGGGCAAGCTTGATACTTTCTACTACTCTTTCTGTTCCCCAAGGATTCTTCAATATTTTTTAGCGAAAAGTTTCTAAGTGTCATAAAGAGACACTTCCCTTTCACCCAAACATTCTGCCCAAGCAGTAACGGGGTCCTCCTCCTCCAGTCCAAATTCTTTCATTGATAACTGGGAAAAGGCTACAGAGTCAAGAGGATTACTGTAAACTGCAGTATCAGAAAGAGGGGATGAGGAGAGCAGAAAATTCCATTCCTTGAGCATCTGTTTTTAAAAAAATAGCCAGGCATGGGCCAGGGACTTAGTTCAGTGGTTCTGGCTCCTGCCTCCCAAGTGCAAGGACCCGAGTTCAATCCCTGGTACCAAAAAAAAAAAAAAAATAGCCAGGCACATGGAGCAAGCCTGGAATCCCAGCTCTCTGGGGGACTGAGGCAGGAGGGTCGAAGTTTGAACCTAGCCTGAGCAACTCAGCAAGCCCCTGCCTCAAAATAATAAATAAAAAGGGCTGAGAAGTGGCTCAATAGGGTGGCCCTGGGCTCAATCCCCAGTACTACCAAAAAAAAAAATGCTAAAGGGAAGCAATAATTCTCCAACTCCTATCACCATTTCAATAAGTATAAATGGGGGTGGGGATTTAGCTCAGTGCCATGCCTCCCTCGCAAGTGCAAGGTCCTGAGTTTAATTTCCTGAGTACTGGAAAAAAAATAGTAAGTATAAACAATGAGCTCATCCATACAATGACTATGTTGGTGTCTCATAAGCCTTTTAAAATGACCTTGCACTAAATTAAGCTTTCTCCTCCTCCTAAGCCTATTTCTTCCTCCTCTGGGTTTTATTTCTGTGAGAAGCATCCTGCACACCTCAGGCTGACACCCAGGAGTCACGCTTGAACACTTCACAGGCTCTGCATCTCAATAATCACCAAGAATTGTCCAGTTTACCTCTTAAGAGCCTTTACAATTTCTCTCATAGTTGGAGTCCCCATTACCTCTACCCTGGGTCATGACAACAACAAGCCTCTCTGGCTCTCGTCTTCTGTTTAACCCAACTGTTCTGAAGCAGTCAGGACAATCTTCCTAAATCGTAACCCTGACCCACACCTATAGGACAAGCTCAAACTCCTCAGCACAACACACAAGATTCTTACCCACTGGGCCCTTGCTTTCCTCATCTATCACAGATCCTTATTCTGAACTTGAAGCCCCAACAATATTTTTTTTCTTTTCCTTTCTTATTGTTCTTTTTTTTTTTCTTTTTGGTACCAGGAATTGAACTCAGGACCTTGGGCTTGCCAGGCAGGTGCAGCACCACTGAGCTAGCCCCAGCAATATTACTTGTCGTCTGTGGAATATAATACTATTTCACACTTCTGAACTTGTACTCTATCTCTTGGGTCCACTTCTTGACTTACTTATTCTTCAAAGTTCAGCTCAGAAACAATCTCTATGAAGCTTTTCCAAAACTCTCCGCAGCCAGGCATGGTGGTGCACGTCTGTTACCTCAGCACTCAGGAGGCCGAGGCAGGAGGGTTGCCACAAGTTCAAGGCTAGCCTGGGTTCAAAGCCAGCTTGCACTACAAAGTGAGACCCTGACTCAAAACAAACAAAAAACCCAATGCCCCCATCCCCTGGTCCAAGTCAATCTCGTTTCTCTAGACAGCCATTGGTGCTTTTAATTTCCTTTTATTTGGCACTTTTCATACAGCACATTATTTTTTTGGTGCCGGGGATTGAACTCAGGACCTTGGGCTTGTAAAGCAGGCAGCAGAACCAGTGAGCTAAATCCCCAGCCCTGCAGCACATTATTTCTTGCTGTCTTTTCCCCCATTTGTTTATGAGCTTGAAAGCAAGGTTATTTTTTCATCTTTCCAACTCCAACACATGTTGGTTGAAATGAGATGCTGGGACCCACTTAGCCATAATCAGAACTGTGGACAGTTTTCCTCATAGTTCAAGTACTTTGTGACTCATTTACACACATGATAAATATTAAGATAGGCTAAATGTCTTACTTTTCATAAATATTTTTGACTTTTTTTTTTTGCAGTATGGGGATCAAACCTAGAGCCATGAGCATGCTAGGCAAACGCATCATGGAGCTCCATCCCCAGACTTTGGGATCCTCTTGATTGTCTCTTTAAACATGTTATCAGCAGTACCCTCTTTATACTTAAGAGACAAATGACATAAACTTATCCTTTTTTTGCTTGCTTAATTCTTTTCTCTCTCTTTTCTCCACTTCGTCCTGATCTGCCACCCCAGCTACCTTCAATGTGGTGGTCCTTTCTACTCCATCCCACTGCATGGAAAGCGCTCTTCTGAAGTGACACAGCCTGAGCTGTGGAGCCCCGCCCTGTGCTCTTGTCTGTCAGAGGCAAGGCCTCGCTTATCTTTACACCCCAGCACCTCCTGCCACCCTGGGACATGACAGGTACGCAATACAAACTTGTTGACTCTGCCCAATGGCAGCTGGCAAACGAAGACATAAAATGCAGCATGAAATGTATGTCGGGGTATTATTGGCAATGAAAAGAAATGCTGCAGTGATACATGCTACACCAAGATTCAAGATTCAAGATGAATCTTGAAAACATGCTCCGTGAAAGCAGCCATCCATAAAAGCCCATACACCATGTGGTATGATTTGTACATCAAGTCTAGAATAGGCAAAGCCACAGATACGGGAAGGTAGGTGCTTTCAGGAAGCTGGAGAGGTGGAAGGGACAGGGCTTCCTTTGGGGTGATAAAGTACTCTAAAATCATTATGGCCAGGCATGGTGGTACACGCCTGTGATCTCAGCACTCGGGAGGCTGGGGCAGAAGGGTTGCCATAAGTTTGAGACCAGCCTGGACTACATAGTGAGAGCCTGTCTCAGAAGAAAATAAATACATAAATAAATATTGGTTATGGTGATGGCTGTGCAAATCTGTAAATATGGGGCCTGGGGATGTAGCTCAGTGGTGCCACACCTGCCTGGCAAGCCCAAGGTCCTGAGTTCAATCCTCAGTATCAGAAAAAAACAAAACAAAACAAAAACACAAAAACACAAATCTGTTAACATACTAAAATCCACTTGGATTGGGTTGGTAGAGTGGATAATATAGTGTGTCAATTATATTTCAACAAAGCTGTTAGAAAAGAAGTAAAATATCTTGTTTACTTTTGCTACAGAGTTTAAAAGGATTCAGAGATAGAAAGTGCAGGTGTATAGTGGAGATGACAGATGAGTTTATTTAGCATATCCTCCTCCTCCCTAGAGTCCATCCAGCCTGTCAAATGAGTGAGTTTTTGACCATTAGCTGCTGCTAAATAGCCAGTGTGTACTGGGGAGGAATGTGGAAGGAGTAGCAAGTCACGGACCTGATTTCACATGAATACATGAAGCAAAATAACTTAATTCCCAATCTTACTGTGCTGTTCCTGGGTATGGGGACGGGCTGGGGATATTACCACTTGGTTACATCTTGTCCTTACTCCAAGTGATTTTGCTCAATTAGTGCCCATCACCAGCTCTTTAACCTGAATTCTCTAAAACACTTTCAGAAGTCAAGCCTGCCCTGTTGACTGTTGGGCCATTCTCCAAGTTCGCTCACTGTGGTGCACAGAATGATGGCGCCTGAAATGTCCGTACCCTGTTCCTGGGAACCTGAGGGTACATGGCCTTCCATGGCGAGGGGCTCTGCACATGTGGTCAGATTAAGGCTTCTGAGGCAGGGGACTCTCCCGGGTGATCTGGTTGTGCCCGGAGTAATCACAAGCACCTTGTAGGCAACAGGAGGATGTGGAGACAGTATCAGAAAACAGCCAGAGTGGCGTGACTGACATGGGCACCATGAGCTGGCCACTGTGGGCAGCTTCTAGAAGCTGGAAAAGACCAAGGAACTAGATTCTTCCTTAGGGCCTCCATCCCAGTCAACATGTTTGATTTTAGTTCTCTGAGCCCCACAACTATAGGAGAATACATTTGTGCTATTTGCAGTCATTTGTTACAGCAGCAATGGGAAATGAATACACTCATCTCTACCACCACCATCGCTACTGCACCTAAAGGTGGATGCCTTCCATCTGTGGAGCTGCTGTTACTGCTCAAGATAAAGTACTAATTTGGAACAATTTTGTTTGAGACAGGTTCTTGCTATGTAGTCCAAGCTGGCCTTGAACTCACTGTGTAGCCCAGGCTGGCCTCAAACTCACAGTCATCCTCCTGCCTCAGCCTCCCAAGTACTGGGATAACAGGCGTGTACCACCATGCCCAGCTGATTTTGGATTTTTGAGATAGGGTCTCACTATGTAGTTCAGGCTGCCTTTGAACTCTTGAGATCCTCCTGCCTCAGCCTCCTGAGTGCTGGGATTACACCACGTCCAGCCTGATATGTTTATTAGAGGAGGCTTTAAAAGAGGTATCAATGTGAGACAGGTTAGGCAGTTTGGAATAGGGTCTTTTATCTAAGGCTTGGCAGTAGTTAGGAAATATAAGAATACTATCACAAAAAAAAAAAAAAAAGAATACTATCACAGAGATAAAGGTGCATAAAGAATTGGGAAGATGGGCTGGGGATTTAGCTCAGTGGTTCCGCCACCTGCCTTGCAAGCACAAGGACCTGAGTTCGATCCCCAGTACCAAAAAAAAAAAAAAATTGGGAAGAGGTTCTCATCTAAGATACAGCCAGTACATAGAAGGGAGAAATGATACGAGGAAAAAAGGCAGTGAGACAAAACCAAGATCCCATGAGAAGATAAGAAGAGCAATCACTGCCTTAGGCCCCATTTCTGCGGCTTTTTAGTATGAATTTGATTTTTAACCCAGTCTGCCCACACCTTCCAAATTTTCCTAATATTCTCCTTCCAATTCCAATGTCAAGCTCCTATACCTGGGCTGGAGGAATAATCTGGTAAAGAGCATGGTATTTTCAAAAACTGTAAAACACCCCTACTTTTCACACATACTATTCATTCTCTCCACTTTTTTTTTGGTACCAGGGATCAAACTCAGGACCTTTTTATTGCAAGGCAGGTGCAGCGCCTCTGAGCTAAATCCCTGGCCCCTTTTTTTTGGTTTTTTTGAGACAGGGTCTTGCTTTGTAGTTCAAGTTGGCCCTGAACTCACTGTGTAGCTCAGGCTGGCTTCGAACTTGTGGTGATTGTCCTGCTTCGGCCTCCTAAGTGCTGGGATTACAGGTGTGCACCCCCACACCTGGCATCTCCCCACTATTTAAGAAGACTGGTAACACCTGTTACACCCGTTTCTCTCCTCCCCTTCCAGGTTAAGGGTGCGAGAAGAAATCCCATGTCTCCTCACCACTGCACAGCGCTGCACTTTGGAGGGAATCCCGTCTTTCTCCGTCGCCCCATTCGGTCCCAGGCCCTCTTTTCTCCTCTTCCTTGAGTTGACTCTGGCTGAGCTCTGTGCATCCATCTTCTTTTAACTGCTCAGAGAAAGTGGGATTTTCAAGACATGAATACACTCTGCAAAACCTCAGTTCCACAGCTCACACTTCACTGAGATGAGACAATGGCATGTGGCAACAACAAAAAAGCTTCCCCAAACACAGGCTCTTGCAGCAACACAGAAATGCCTCCACGCAGAACAATGGCCACTATTAACCACCCAACCTTAGAAGTTCTTCCTCCTAATGCTGCAGCCTACATACTGCTGCTTTCCTATCTTGACTGTATGTAAAAGATCAGAATAAGCTGGCTGAGAAAACAGCTACTAGGTTGAGGATCCTTATCTGAAATACTTGGGATCAGAGGTGGCCTCTCTCAGTCTTTTGGACTTTGGAATATTTGCAGTCTTTACCAGTTGAGCAACCTTAGGAAAATTTGAAATCCAAAATGCTCTGAAATCTGAAGCTTTCTGGGGGGTTAGGGATGTTCCACCTGACATGCTTTACCACTACCCCTCAGCATCTCCGACACCTAAAGGTGTGGCAGGCGCAAGGCAATGCAGAAGGTAGGACTAGGACAAAGGAAGAGTTGTATAACCAGATGGCTTTTACCAAGTTCCGGTTTAACAAAAGCATGGATTTCTTAACTCTAAATGTCCTCCAGATTTCAAAGACCACTTCACCAGTTAGCTCTATAGGGAAACTGTTGACTGGCATAGTGTATCTTGCAAATGTTTTGCCCTTCTTTTTTCAATACCTATCTCCTCTTCATCTTTCATAATCTTGGCACCTCAAGCTGTTCTAGAGTTCTCAGCTATTAAAACCTCCACCTAGGCTTCTCTTTCCCTCAAGGAAAACTCATTTCTACTATCTCTCTTAGCAGAGCGCTTCTAGCAACTAGCCATCACAGGACAATTTGCAATATCTGATGCTTCTGGTTTAGATCCTGGCTTGTGCTACCTCTCCATCCCCTGCAGGAATATTTGGGGGTTTTTTAGGTAATATAATTTGCACAGGTTTTTGTTTTTTGTTGCGCCACCACGCCCACCTTAATTTCTTGATAATGAAGAAATGTTAGGCATCACCCAGAAATCGGGAATAGAGGAAGCTCCAGGAGTAACTATAATCTCTGCCTAAAATAATGGTCCAGTGAAAAATCCTCAAAGCAGAAGCGGAAAACAAATGCTAGACAGAAAGAGAGCTTTCCACACAGCCTCACTGCCTCTAAGCCCTCTTGAAGGAGACAATCGTCTGTTCAACTGCACTGTGCTTCCCTTTCTTTCCTCCAGCTACATACAACGTGGCAAAATGACAAGGTTTACAAGAAACCTGACCTGAATCTTGAAGACTGAATGAAGGTAACACCCCATGAGTCATGGGTAAGTATTAGGCTGACATTAGAAAAAAAAACTAGTCTACAGTGAAACGTGGACACCACCCAGAAACTCCCTTTCATTCCAAAGGTGAATGAATACAGAAGACAGAAGACAAAACACTCAGTTCTCCCAGTGGTGATGACCACAGCTTTTCTTCACTACTGTTATTATTCTTGGAAAACATCCAGAGCCCAGGACTTGAGGTCACTGGTCTGAGAGGCTGACTAACAGTGTCTAATGGGTCCCCTCAGTGACCAGCTCTGATCTGCCTATCACGGGACTCTGCTGTAAGTAGCTGCTCGATTCTTCTTGGGATAAGGGGACAAAAACCACTATGAGAAAAGTGCAGGGCCAGGGATTTAGCTCAGTGGTTTCACCGCCTGCTGTGCAAGCACAAGGACCCGAGTTCGATCCCTGGTACCAAAAAATAAAAATTAGTGCAACTTGGCATCAAGCATATCAGTCATATCTATGAGTACTTACTGTGCACAGGTCACTATCTCATCATTGTAAAGTACAAACTGAACCCGGAGGACATTATCTAGGTGAAATAAGCCTCGCACAGAGAGACAAACACCGCAAGATCTCACTTCCATGTAAGATCTATAAAAGGTGACCATAATAAATAAGCACTGGAGGGTTGGGGATTTAGCTCAGTGGCATCTCGCCTGCCTCGCAAGTGCAAGGCACTGAGTTCAATTCCTGGTATCCCCAAAAAAGCACTGTATATTTCAAAATTGCTGATAAAGTATATTTTAAATACTTCTACCACCAAAAAAGTATGAGGTGACAGATTTGTTAATTTATTGGACTTAATCATTCCATAATTTAAACATATTAAAATATACATGGTGTAATTAATATATACAATTATTTGCCAATTTGAAATAAAATAAAATGCAAGTGCAAACTATTTTTTCAAAGAGCCTATATATAATCAAGCCAAGGAAACCACTCCCAGAGCCCCACCTTAAAAAAGTTTCACATAAAAATACTCTCTTTAGATTTCCAAACCCTTGGGTGAAAGCTTGCAATGGAACAAGATATTTACACAGTTTCAAAGTATCTACCCATAGATTACTTATTAATTACTGGGAGAAAAGAGTCAGCTTGATAGGGGGGTAAAAAATCTCTTAGCAAATGTCTTAGTCACTTTCTAATCGCTGAAACACAATACCTGACATCTGCAATTTAAAGGCAGAGAGGTTTATTTTGGCTCACAATTTGGCTGGCTCTAGGGCAGGACAGCATGGCACAAGGGAATGGGAGATGAAAACTGCTCACCTCATGGCAGCCAGGAAGTAGACAGACATGGGAGGAGCTGAAAAGGGAGACAAACCCTGCAGGCCACGCCCCCAGTGACCACACCCCACCTCTTAACAGCAAGTCAGCTGTAACCCCTCATAGTCCAATCACCCCAGAACCCCACCTATGGGGCACATGAAGCTGGGGGTGGGCAACTAGATTTAAAGCAGAACAGCAAAATCACCAATAACACCTCCTGAGGTGAGGCACTGAGGCTATATTACCCCCCCAAAATGTGTAACTGCATCAATTTGCAAGGAAACAAGCAAACAAACCCCAATTATGGGGATTTCTATAAGGTGCCTGTAGGCTCCAAAAAAAGTCAGTCATGAAAAACAATGAAAGGCTGAGAGACTTCCAGGTTACAAGACAGTAAAGGGGTGGTAATTTATGTAATATATGATTCTAGACTGGGGGAGCAATTATAATAAATGATAGTTATTAGGATATCAGCAAAATTTGAATAGGTACTGTGTATCAGATAATAACATGCATTAATGTTAAACTTCCTGAATTAGGGCCAGGGATTTAGCTCAGTGGTTCCTCCACCTGCCTTGCAAGCACAAGGTCCCGAGTTCGATCCCTGGTACCAAAAAAAAAAAAAACAACTTCCGGAATTTGATAGCTACACCATTACATAAAAGACTGTCCTTGTTTTTAGGAGATACATACTGTATTTAAGTATCTTGGGATACAGGATCATAAGTTTTATACCTTACCCTAGGTGAAAGGAGAGGAGGAGAGAGAGGAAGAAAACATTACATATAGAAGAAGGTAAAGCAAGTGAGGCACTGTATTCTCATCGGAGCTGTAGCTCAGTGGTAGCTCACTTGCCTACCATGCAAGAGGCCCTGTGCTCAATCCTCTGCACTGGAAATGAAAGAAAAAAAGGTAAATATGGCAAAATATTATCAATGTATGAATCTAGATGGAGCAAAAGGGGTATATTCTTGCAACTTTTCTATAGGCTTTATCTTTTTTATTAAAAATAAAAAGGTTAATTTTTTTTTTTTTGGTACTGGACCTTGCGCTTACAAGGCAGGCGGAGGAACCACTGAGCTAAATCCCCAGCTAAAAAGTTTAATTTTGAACTACTTTGTTACAATTTCCTGCACAGACAGGCCTTCACATGAGATTGTCTCTTGGGGTCCTTAGAATCTGATTTACTTTCCTTCTTATTTCTTTGAATCAGTGTACATACTACATATACTCCAAGAAGCAAGATAATTATACCAAGAGTTATAATACTACCATTTTTTCTTTTCTTTTTTGAGACAATCTCACTGCGTAGTTCAGGCTGACTTGAACTCACTATGTAGCCCAGACTGGCCTCGAACTCATGGTGATCCTCCTGCCTCAGCCACACCAAGTAATACCATCATTTCTTTGAATATTTATGATATGCTGGGGGTCTGTGCTATTCCTTTTGGATACATTACCCTCATAATCAGAGAAGATATCATTAATCCAATTTATAAATGAGAAAATTAAGGAGCAGAGGGGTAAGCAACCTACCCAAGAGATCACACAGCTAGTAGTAAGGGAGAAATCCAGGCTTTAAATTCAGCCTTCTTTAATTCTAAAGTCCTTACCACTACTATTCTTTTTTTACCACTATTCTTCTTTTCTGTCTCTCAGAGGTCCAAGATTTTTAAAAAGAAGTTGGCTCTTCAATACTGCTGCTTCCTTCTATCAAGAGCGTGAGGTTTTTGCAGGTTTAGGCCAGGCCTAACTAAATAGTGGAATAAAAGGTCATGGCAATTTAAAAGTGAAAATATCCGACAACCAATCAGGAAAAAAAAACAAAAACAAAACCCATGGACATGGCTACTGACCTGGTTCAGAGATTACCAATCAGGCAGCTCGACAGGTCTTCCTACTGGACAGTTTTGTAAGATTTCCTGATAAGCTTTCAACTTGGGCAATAAAGAATTCTTTTAACTGTGCTCCTCCCTCTTCTACATTACAAATAGGTTATATTTTAAAGGCATCTATAGCTTTCATTCATAAAAGAAAAGAGTTTTAAGGTTGCTGTAATAAATCAAGGGGCAAATTTTTTTCTTTCTTTCTTTTTTTGCACTGGGGCTGGAAACAAGAGCCTTCACACTGAGCTACATCTACAGCCTTTTTTACAGGGTCTCACTAAATTGTTGAAGTGCCCAGGCTGGGCTTGAACTTGCAATCCTCCTGCCTCAGAGTGCTGGGATTATAGGCGTGTACCACCATACTCAGCTTAATATCATATTTTAACCAATTATTTCCCATAACTTCAAGTTAAAATCCCTCATGCATGAGACAGGCATGGCATCTCATGTCTGTAATCCCAGCACTTGGAAGGCTGAGGCTGGAGGATTGCCA